AGGTATTCCTTCCAAGGATCGGATGGAAATTGGCCAAGATATGGACTTGGTTTGGGGCTAAAATGGAAATCCTGGATTTTGCAAGGGTTCCATCAGAAAAATTTGAAAAATCTGGGTCGAAATTTTTGATTCAAGGTTTTGATTTAGATTGAAGGAGAATCGAACTACAAATCGTTTAAGGTATTCCTTCCAAGGATCGGATGGAAATTGGCCAAGATATGGACTTGGTTTGGGGCTAAAATGGAAATCCTGGATTTTGCAAGGGGTTCCATCAGAAAAATTTGAGAAATCTGGGTCGAAATTTTTGATTCAAAGTTTTGATTTAGATTGAAGGAGAATCGAACTACAAATCGTTTAAGGTATTCCTTCCAAGGATCGGATAGAAATTGGCTAAGATATGGACTTGGTTTGGGGCTAAAATGGAAATCCTGGATTTTGCAAGGGGTTCCATCAGAAAAATTTGAAAAATCTGGGTCGAAATTTTTGATTCAAGGTTTTGATTTAGATTGAAGGAGAATCGAACTACAAATCGTTTAAGGTATTCCTTCCAAGGATCGGATGGAAATTGGCCAAGATATGGACTTGGTTTGGGGCTAAAATGGAAATCCTGGATTTTGCAAGGGGTTCCATCAGAAAAATTTAAAAAATCTGGGTCGAAATTTTTGATTCAAAGTTTTGATTTAGATTGAAGGAGAATCGAACTACAAATCGTTTAAGGTATTCCTTCCAAGGATCGGATGGAAATTGGCCAAGATATGGACTTGGTTTGGGGTTAAAATGGAAATCCTGGATTTTGCAAGGGGTTCCATCAGAAAAATTTGAAAAATCTGGGTCGAAATTTTTGATTCAACGTTTTGATTTAGATTGAAGGAGAATCGAACTACAAATCGTTTAAGGTATTCCTTCCAAGGATCGGATGGAAATTGGCCAAGATATGGACTTGGTTTGGGGCTAAAATGGAAATCCTGGATTTTGCAAGGGGTTCCATCAGAAAAATTTGAGAAATCTGGGTCGAAGTTTTTGATTCAAGGTTTTGATTTAGATTGAAGGAGAATCGAACTACAAATCGTTTAAGGTATTCCTTCCAAGGATCGGATGGAAATTGGCCAAGATATGGACTTGGTTTGGGGCTAAAATGGAAATCCTGGATTTTGCAAGGGGTTCCATCAGAAAAATTTGAAAAATCTGGGTCGAAATTTTTTGTTCAAGGTTTTGATTTAGATTGATAAAGAATCGAACTACAAATCGTTTAAGGTATTCCTTCCAAGGATCGGATGGAAATTGGCCAAGATATGGACTTGGTTTGGGGCTAAAATGGAAATCCTAGATTTTGCAAGGGGTTCCATCAGAAAAATTTGAAAAATCTGGGTCGAAATTTTTGGTTCAAGGTTTTGATTTAGATTGATAAAGAATCGAACTACAAATCGTTTAAGGTATTCCTTCCAAGGATCGGATGGAAATTGGCCAAGATATGGACTTGGTTTGGGGCTAAAATGGAAATCCTGGATTTTGCAAGGGGTTCCATCAGAAAAATTTGAAAAATCTGGGTCGAAATTTTTTGTTCAAGGTTTTGATTTAGATTGATAAAGAATCGAACTACAAATCGTTTAAGGTATTCCTTCCAAGGATCGGATGGAAATTGGCCAAGATATGGACTTGGTTTGGGGCTAAAATGGAAATCCTAGATTTTGCAAGGGGTTCCATCAGAAAAATTTGAAAAATCTGGGTCGAAATTTTTGGTTCAAGGTTTTGATTTAGATTGATAAAGAATCGAACTACAAATCGTTTAAGGTATTCCTTCCAAGGATCGGATGGAAATTGGCCAAGATATGGACTTGGTTTGGGGCTAAAATGGAAATCCTGGATTTTGCAAGTGGTTCCATCAGAAATATTTGAAAAATCTGGGTCGGAATTTTTGATTCAAGGCTTTGATTTAGATTGGTTTAAGGTATTCCTTCCAAGGATCGGATGGAAATTGGCCAAGATATGGACTTGGTTTGGGGCTAAAATGGAAATCCTGGATTTTGCAAGTGGTTCCATCAGAAATATTTGAAAAATCTGGGTCGGAATTTTTGATTCAAGGCTTTGATTTAGATTGAAGGAGAATCGAACTACAAATCGTTTAAGGTATTCCTTCCAAGGATCGGATGGAAATTGGCCAAGATATGGACTTGGTTTGGGGCTAAAATGGAAATCCTGGATTTTGCAAGGGGTTCCATCAGAAAAATTTGAAAAATCTGGGTCGAAATTTTTGATTCAAGGTTTTGATTTAGATTGAAGGAGAATCGAACTACAAATCGTTTAAGGTATTCCTTCCAAGGATCGGATGGAAATTGGCCAAGATATGGACTTGGTTTGGGGCTAAAATGGAAATCCTGGATTTTGCAAGTGGTTCCATCAGAAAAATTTGAGAAATCTGGGTCGAAATTTTTGATTCAAGGTTTTGATTTAGATTGAAGGAGAATCGAACTACAAATCGTTTAAGGTATTCCTTCCAAGGATCGGATGGAAATTGGCCAACATATGGACTTGGTTTGGGGCTAAAATGGAAATCCTGGATTTTGCAAGGGGTTCCATCAGAAAAATTTGAAAAATCTGGGTCGAAATTTTTGGTTCAAGGTTTTGATTTAGACTGATAAAGAATCGAACTACAAATCGTTTAAGGTATTCCTTCCAAGGATCGGATGGAAATTGGCCAACATATGGACTTGGTTTGGGGCTAAAATGGAAATCCTGGATTTTATAAGGGGTTAGTTTAAAAAAAATTTTAAAAGTCTGGATTGAAATTTGTATTTAAAGATTTTGATGCAGACGGAAAAGAATGCAACTACAAATCATTAAAGGTCGAGGATCGGATGAAAATTGGGGCATTTTATATGACGTTCCATAAAAAAAAATTTTTAAAATCTGGATCGAGAATGTAGTTTTATGATTTCAGGATATTCAGGATCAGGATATTCATCTCAATTTTTCTCAGGGGGGAAATTGGCATTTTTTTGACCCATATGAACAGATTCTATCAACAGATACAACAAATTGGCATAAAATATAATTTCTTTTTATTCAAAGAATCTAAGCATTTTTTTATAGTTTAACAATCTACACACGATAAAAATAATGAAAATTAATAAAATAATGAAAATTTAGATAAAACTTAATCAGCAATTTGTACATCATTCTATTTCTTTATATATTTTTTAGGTGCTCCATCCTTCAAAGTCTTATTTTTATTCTGTGAGATCTGAGAATCTGTAGAGAATAATTTAAATGTTAGACTATAATTGTCATCTATACCATCTATAGTATAAACTTACTGTTTTTTACACCAGAAGTGAAGTTAGTCAAGATCTCGATTTTGCTTGATGGACTGCTAGGCTTGCACTTCACGTCGGTCATCTTAACAATATTTGGGTGAACTTTATTCATGTGTTCTACAAGTTTATCGACATCATTGCGGGCACACTTGATGACTCCCACACATAACAGACATTGAAGGCGTTGCAAGTCATTCAATTGATGGGACATATTTAGATGTTTTTATTATTGCGTTTCGAATTTCTGAATTGAAATCAAGTCAAGCTCAGTCAAGTGCTGAACCGATTGTGGCAAGAAACATTCGGGTTGCTAGGCTCATATGTGTATGGTTAGGCATAATAAATCATTCCCATTCTTAAAAGGCACGCATTAACCAACGAAGAATGATGAATGATAAATGGATTTCTTTTATTTGAATCCAACGATGGATTAATTACAAGGCGCCTAAAGATTATATTGCTTTTTGGAAGTTCGAAATCGCTGACATGTTAATTGTCGAAATTGGTTTTCGCATTTTCAATTTTAACTTTGAAACTACAGTGTGGGATGCTTTATTTGTAGATGATGTTTTGTGAAAAAACTCTTATAAAAATAACCATAACCATTTTATTTTTTGTATGTAAAATATACAAACATTTCCCATACACGAGCACTGTAGGGATTTATTTTATGCAGATGTGTGAACTGAAAAACCCTCGAAACATCAATCAGCTTACGTTGAGTGCGAACTTCTGGCCTTAATAAAGCAAGGACCAGCAGGTACCCAGAATGTTATTGTGCCTTATTTTTTGGGAGTAGGTGGTTTAGATGGAGTATCCCCCAACCCTTGGACTTATCGACTTAATCCAATCGCCTTCGAGCACCCTGTATCCATAATGCTCTTTGGCTGCGTCAACATTTTATTGTCAGTCATTTTCCAGCACCCCGGCGGCGGCGGCCACATCTCAGCCCCCCTGATTTCATCTTGTTTTTTTTTTGTTGAGGGCCCCAAATATACCCCAACTTTTTTAAGGCTTTGGGTGTATTTTTCAACATTTTGTCAAAATTGATTTTTTACTGCACTTACGGCATGATGCGACCGTTTTGGGGTTCCGCATGGCTCCACATGTTTCCACCGACTTTGTGAAGCACACACTCCCCATTCCTCTCAACCCCCCCCTCTCCTTTTGCCCCGGAGCCCTGCTCTTAACACTTCTTCCTTCTATTTATTTACTTTTTGTTGTTGTACCTTTTTCAGCGCTGGCATTGCTCATACGCCCCGTTGTACGCACAGAAAGAAAGTCGCACCTAAAAAGCCAACGCGTGTCGCTGTCATTTTCCCCAATGCGTCTGCATTTATTGACTATGTTGCCTGTTTCTACTACATGGGGAGAAATATATTAAGATAATGTTATCAACATGAAAATTAAAAATATTTTAATACTTTTGAAAACAAAGAAAGGAATAAAATATTTTAAGAGTTACTTAATTTGGTTGTGACATTTTGCTTTTTGTTGTGGTTATTCCTCTTCTTGTCAACGCCCTCGAAGATGTCATTAGAGACGGTGAAAAGAGAGTCCTGTAAAAAAATCCTTTGGAAAACGCGTGGCCGGAGGCTGTGGGCGATTTGCATTTATCCACAGTTACAGTCGCTCTGAAGACACTTGCGCCGGATACGTTTACGCTGACATAAGTGCTCCGTATAATTTGACTCAATTCTCGTTTATTCTGCTTACACATATACAATACATGGTACATTCAATGTCTAGGACTAATATAAAAATACATTTCTTTTGTTTTTCTTTCTTTTGCTTCTCCTCCATGTTGTTTTTCTTTACGTTTCGATTTTGTTTGTTTTTGCGTTGGTTTGGTAGCTTTGGAAGCTTGGTTTGTTAACATTTGCTTTCATTGAATTCGATTTGTTTGGTTTTTGGTGTGCATCATTTACATTTTTTATTTAAATCTCCCCCGTTTATCCTCGTTTAACTAAGTATTTCAGCAATGTCATCGTCGGTACTTGGTCAGTTACTTGTTATTAGTTATTAGCTTAGTTACTTTGATTTACTGTGTCGATCCGATTTTGTGCAATTAGTTCATTGTTTGTTTGTTCCTTGTGTAAAGGATGTGTAAAATCGTCCTAGCCTAGGCAAACATTTGTTGTTCATTTGTAAAATTGGACTATGCTTAGAATATGTACACTGGATCGTAGTGGGTTAACTCTTGCTGGGCCTCTAGCTCCCAATTATCTGACCTTCCGGCTTCCGTTCCGCTCCGTTCCTCCCTTAAAGTATCCCTTACACATACACACACACGCACACTTTTGAGGCACATTCAGTTTTGAATCATTTTACAAATTTATAAAGTTTGCTACAAACAGGACCTCCGCCTTCCCGCCGACCCCTTCGTCTGGCCCAACTACAAACTAATTGTAAAAATTAAAAATTGATTTAACTGGCCGCCCGAAAAAACAGTTTCAAGTAAACTTGGCCCAGGGCCAAAGGGTTTCGTTATTACCCCCGCCCCCAACAACTCCTGCAAGTTTAATGCATTTATCACTATTTTCCGGCCTTGGCTGGGGTGGCTGGCGGAAGGCGAAAGGGGTGGCCTCTATGGGGCTTGGCTGGCCAGTGGCTTAGAGCGTGTTCTGCTTGGCAGCCTCGCCGCTTTTGGCAGTCGCGTCAGGTCGGGAACGTGGGCGCCTCTTTGGCTGCAGCGAGTACAGGCGACCGCTGCGGGCCCGCGTCTGCGGCTCGCACTCCAAACGCCAAGTGCCAGGGCCGCCGCTAAAACAAGGAGGTTCAAGAGGTTAGGGCTGGATCTCGAGTTTAGACGTCTGTGCGGTACTCACTTCATCTCCAGCTTGGCTAGCCGCTGCTTGATCTTGGCCTGGCTGGCGGTGTATTCCGCCAGAAGGCGCGCCAGTCGCATGTTCAGGTTCTCCACCGACAGTTCCAGCTTCTCGATTCCACCCTCGATGCTGTCATGAACTCGTTGGGAGTCTACAAAAATGGGAAGACGGGTGACCGTAATTACCAAGCTCATAATTTTTCATTCAAGCATTATATTTCTTTCATTAACAGAGCATTTAAAACTAATTGAATCCGTTGGTGATGTGAAAACTGATTTATGTATTTAATTGTATCGTGATTTGAATTGTAGATGCATAAATTAATTTTAATTGCCTGCAGTTATTCATTTCAATAATCCTTTAATCTCACATAAGGAGATTAAGTCCGTTACTTTAATTTATGCCAAATGTTAGGCAACTAGTCGTATACGTAATTTTAGTTTTGAATACAAAATATTACCGGCGAATATCTGCTCATCCAGAAGTCCATCTTTGCGGAGAAGCTGACATCCTCGTTGGGTTAGCGTGGATCTGGCCTCCGGATAATCGGCCAGTGTCTCCCAAAGATCCCTTTTCGCTAAGCAGAAGAGATCCGAGTAGCCCAGGGAGCGGACATTGGCTGTCCGGCGATTGCCCGTTCGATTTCCGGCTATCTCCAGGACGGAGACCTCGCCAAACACAGAGCCAGCTCCCAAAGTGGCCAGAACGGTGATGCCATCGTCTCCCACCACGGAGAGTTTTCCTCTTTTCACGATATACATCTCCTTGCCCACGTCACCCTTGCGACAAATGTAGTCTCCGGGACTGAAAACCTGCAGCTTCAGTTTCAGCACCAGAGCCTCCAGCAGACCAGGCTCCGTGTCGTGGAAAATGCGAACCTGTTTCAGGGTATCCATATGCACTTGGATGGCAATCTCCGCCTTCAGCTTGTCGGGCAACGCGGCCAGCACTCGCTCCTCATCGAGGGCGCCGCTTTGGGACCACGTGTACGCAAACCAGCGGATGACTCGAGCTTCCAGTTCATGGCCGACTCTCCGGAATGCCATGTACTGCTTTACACCGTCCATTCGGTTCTGGAACTCCACCCTGGCCACATTCATGTTGGAGATCATGGAGCCGATGTTACCTGAATTTCGGGGGATGGAACAAAACAGAATGGTGAGCAAGTTGGTTAATGAATGAGGGGTGATGGCCATTCATCTTAGCCGCCCCATAACCGGTTCACCGCCCACTCGGGCGCAATGAAATTGAAGGAGCCAGTGTTCCATGCCACTCATGGATTCCGGCATGCGGATAGCGTGGCACAAAGGCGACTAATGGCGGCACTTCCGGTGCTAGCACACAAATACATACAGGCGCTGACACACACACACACACAAACAAGCGGGTGAAATAACGAAGACGCCTAATGGCAGTTTGAAAAAAAATATTTTTATAATAATGGTAATTGGTTTTTAAAAATAATAATAATTAGAATAATTGAATACTACAAATGGTATAATTTTTTTCTCAACCAAGTTATTCTAGATAATTTTTTGGTTCAGAAATTTCTCGCTGTGTACCCGTCTTGTCCAAACGAACTCTGCATTCATCACAGTAAGTAAATTTGTTTGCACAGCGAGGTCGCAGGATGAGGATGCGAAATGTGAGGACTTGGCAGCTGCTGGGAATGCGGGAATGCGACCTGCGACTTGGAGGCTCTGGACAGGAGGCGAGAGACATGGGACTGGGTATAGGAGACGGTAATGGCAGCGATAAGGAGGACGACAAAAATGATAAAAAGGCACGTTTGCCAAAAAAAAAAAAAAATTGTAGATATTTGGGCGGGGAAGATGGCAGAGCGACGGCAACAAATCAACCCAGAAAAACAAAACAACACAGAACGAAACGGAACGGAACAGAACAAACTCGAACAGACTGAAAGCGTAATGAATAATGTGGGTCGATGGGGGTGGCGAAAGGGGGTTTGACACAGAGGGGCAGGCGGGGCAGGATGGGACGACCCAAGGGCGGAGTACGTGCGGGCCGACCCTGACGTGCGTGGCTGTAAATTAATACCCATTGATGTCACAGATGTCACTCTGGAACCAATTAAACGATCAGACGAAATATTTGCGTAAACAAACGCAAACAAAGTCCCCCAAAAAAAGGATTTTCCAGAATATCTCCCACTGACAGGCTGACCCACTGGCACTGGCACAAATGGGAAAGGAAAATTTCAGCAAAAAACAAAGCAAAAATCACTGACATAAAAAAGGGAAAATATAATTTTAATTGAAAGGAGAATGAAGCTACTTAGAAAGCAATTAATTTACATTAAAAAGGAGCAAGGAAAATCCCTTTTAGAGATTATTGTAGAGTGGAAACCACACTTACCCACAATGGTGGCAAAGATGAGAACTCCGGCGAGAAAGTCAGCCACCACGAACAGGTACTCCACATCGTTCTCCGGCGTTGGCGTCTCTCCAATCGTCGTCAGGGTCAAAGTTGACCAATAAAAACTGTAGATGTACTGCCGCTGAAGGGTATTGTTTCTCGTTCCATTCAGATTGTAGACCCACGAGTCGGAGCTGAAGCCAATCTCGTAGCTAATGGCAAAGTACATGCAGGCATTCCAGTGAATCAACACCAAGATGGCCAGCACCACTTTGCAGATCCGGAAGGCATTCGGGTATCCGGTGGCAGTCTCCGTTCGATCGAACCACTCCCACAGCCGGTTCACTCGCAGCAGACGATTCAGTCTAACGATCACGGGACATGGAAGATAGAGGCTGGAACAGGTCTCCGGCGGCCACCAGATGTAGGCCAGATCCGTGGGCACCATCGAGAGGACGTCCAGGTACCAGCCCTTGGTGTGGAAGTAGTGTCTGCGCAGCCGGAAAGCATCCCGCACAAGAAGGCCCTGGTCCAGGAATCCTGCACAGAATTTGAATAAAACACAAAGGACTTTAGTTGGTGGCACGACCTAGACATATTTTCCGGGTGGTAGACTCTATGTTTTTGTTTCGGTTATGCCTTTAGCCACAGAGCTGTGCCGCAGAAATGTTTTTTATAGTTTTGAGTTTAGAAAACTTGATAGACGGAGCAATACCCTATGGTTTCATAATTTCTTTAAATGGAGATGTCGTTTGTCAACAAACTACTTATATTTTTAAATATATTTATGGAAAAATAAAATAATAATTCTGTAATATCTGTAACTCATAACACCTTTAAACTATAAACACTGATAGGTACTAGAGCGTTTGTTGCTTTTGTACAAAATGTCAAGGTTGGCTTATCCCTGCATTTGGCAACTCAACCACACCCACAATCCAGAGCTCACAGGACTACCACGCACACACACCCGTGCTAGCATATGTATATGTACGAGAATATCCCACCCATTCAGCATCTGAAATGGGTTTCACATGCGTGGCAAATGGCTTTGCCGACAGCATCGCCATTGCCATTGTCTGAAGTCTGAAGGCGGCTTAGTGCGATTCTCATTTGCATAGGTAAATCTCAAACACGCAACCGAATTCAGGATAGCAGGATGTCATGATGGCAGCATGGCAGGATGGCAGGATAACAGGATGGTCGGATAGATGTGTCAGTCGCTTACCCTCATGCATGTGGACGAGCGTATCCAGCAGATAGATGAAGTCGCAGAGGTAGTCCAAGGTGTACCACACCGCCGGAGCACTTTTGTTGATCTCCCAGAAGACCGCCCGTCCAACCACAAAAATAATATTATAAAGCACCGCCAGTGAAACAATAGCCAGCCACTATATGCAAAAAATGTAAAAGTGTATAATCATATTAATAAAAGAAAGCCATTTGCATAATGTAGTTTAGTTTTTTAATTGCCCTTTTGCAGGTCAGTTAGCAGGAAAATAAAACCAAACTGAAAAGACCAATTTCTCAACTGAACTGACTAAGTGCTCAGGAAGTTTAATTTTCTTATGGTAATGGCATCTACATAGTTCGGATTTCAGACTGCCAGCTTGAAATCAGAGCAGTTCACTCACCCTGTAGTGCGACTGCAATGTGGGATCCACGGAGAGTCTGTTGCACAGGACGCTGGAGCCGCGTATTTCGCTGGAAAGGGCCGCATCCTCCATGGCCGGACAACCCTTGCCAATTTTGTCCGTGTTCGTGGTATTGGAGAACTTCTCGAGAAACCAATCTGGCGGCTTGGGGCGATTTCTTTTGGTCAGACGCTGGCGGAGAGCTTGCAGGGTGCGCCTCAAAGCCGAGGGCTTGCTTCGTTTACTGGGCTCCTATACAGTCACAAAAAAATAAAGGATTTAAAGGCGAAACTTTTAAATATTCCAAAGATAATCATTCCTATACCATACTCTATGAAATTAATACAAATTTTAGAGAAGCCATAAATCAAAATTTGAAATCTGACATCGTCTTATCGGAACCCTTTCTCTCTCTGTAACTGACTTGGCGTTGCAGACATAAGTTCTGCAAAAAGTTTCAGCGAACGTCTACTAATTGAAGCGTTTTAGTGCTCCGGTTATGGGTATATCTTTTTTCTGGTTCTACCCCCTTTTAACCACATTAAAACTTGGTCAGCATCCAAGTTTTGTGCTTAAATTTTGTTATGTCTGCCAGCTGGATGACGCAGCCCAATTGTGCGACAGCTTTTGGCTATGGTATCTCCTTAAAGACCATTGACAAACTAATAAAGTTCAGATTTAATGTAGCCAATGAAAGGATTGAAATTGGTTTCGCATTAAAGGTATTTAAATTGTATAAATTATTTTAAGAACTTTGTAGGTTTCAAGAACTACTTCTAGCCATGTCTTGGGGAAATCTTTTCTTTTACTCATTTCATACTCGCAGGATATTAGGGGCGTGTTCCTGACAGTCGAATAAACTCTTATCAGCCGGCGGCAGCGGTTAATCCATTAAGCCATCTTTAGCAGAAAAAAAACCAACATCCTAACAAATATGACGCATACGCCTCGTTGGGCGGCAAATGGCAAATGACAATGCAATGCCACGCCTCCCGCTGCGTGTAAGCCAGTAAGTGTGTGAAGGTCATGTGCTATACATGTAAATATTTTGCATGTGTGTGCCAGTGTAAGTGGGTAGATTTACCGCATCTGTTTGCTGTCCCGTTATGGCGGATATATCCAACGACTGCACCATGGCTTTGACTTTGAAATGTCGCATACAAATCGAATCGTCCTGCTATCTCTATTTCACTCGTACGCTTCCACTTCCACATCCACTTCCACACTGCCACTTCCACTGACTGGGATTGTTCTCCGAATTTAGCCTGCGGGCCAATACCAATAGCAATAACAATAACAATAATAATAACAGCAGCAATAACGGTTAGTTTTTGGGCAGCAGCTGCGCGCATGCGCCGCGTTGTGACGAGCTGGCTTTTCAAACTGTTAACACTGATAAAGCCGCCAAAACACTTGGCCCGCTGCCATTCAAGGCGAGCCAGCGACGCCGGCAGCGGCGATGGCAGTGGCCGAGGCAGAGACAACGCCACTGACCAGACCACGACTTCCATACACAATAATATACAGTAAAGACTCGATACAAATTATTTTAAAAACTCGAGAAAAAGCATTAAGAAAAATTATAGAAAATTTTTATGTTGTTTTTTCTTTTTTTTAAATGGTTTTTTGTTTTTTTTTTTTTTGCTTATTACTCTTCAAGTCTCTACTGTACATTGGCTTATTTGCTTGTCAATTCCGAATGCTGTTTTGCAATTTTCTTAATTTGCATTTGCCACTCATCGCTCTGCCGCGTTTTAATTAATTAAAGCTTGCAACAGGAACAAAAACGGCAGCCACAATGAAGGATGATGCCTCAAGTGTCTTTAGGTCCTTCTGCGTCCAGGCCACCCACCGTCAAAGTTGGTAATACCACTAGCCACCGTTTCGACAAGATTGATGACACTGCCCCTTCATTTGGCGTTTTGTCTAAATGCTTTTTAATTGGCCAGGCCAACACTACCAGCACCGTTTCAATTAAGCTAAAAAGGCATTCCCGATGACGGGCAACCTGGGGTTAACGCCGAGCAACTTGTGCATAAATTAATTGCAATTTGACGGATAGCCGGTGTTTCTGATAGATTTTCCTGTTCCCCGATAATATTTACTTTACTGATTTCCAATGAGCTCATCATTATCATCGACAACTGGCCAGTAATTTTTGCCAACTGCAAGGTTACAAAAAAACACACAATTTTTTAACCGTTTTTTGTGCTTTACTTTGACCTTACTCGAAACTGAAATCGGATTTGGAATACTGACCAACATTATCATCGGACCATCGCCGTTCCCTGATTGGCATTCACGGCACAAAGGCGGCGTGGAGACTCACAATAAATTTCCATAATTGCGACCCAGTACCCCTCCACAGCCACCTATCACCCACCACCCACCCTCTAGCTTTCATTCACCTGCCAGGTGGGGGAACTCTGTGCTAACCAAATCAAGCGTTTTCATATCAGCGTTTATGGCGATACGTGGGCCTTTTATGCTTCCTCCATAAAAACATGACTAAGCCAGTTGGCTGTCGTAAAATCGAGTAAGAAAATTCTATATAGCTGACCCTTAATTGGGGAAAAAGAGGTGTAAATTGAAGTATTTTGGAAAGGGGTTTTAAATTGATTTAAATAGCACCTAAGGGGATGCTATAAATCAACTATTCTTGGCTTTAAAAAATCACTTAATAAAGGCTCCACGACTCGCATTTCGAAAACATCATAATAAACGACCAACAGATGTTTGATATCTTATCTCGTGATGGATTCAAAGGTTTAACCCCTTGTTTAGTCTTTGGACCTCGTTGTGGGGACTCTATCACTTGTCTGTTATTGATACAACCGATAGTTGGATATTTATTTGATTGTGATTTCATTGTAAACGTGGGAAATTATGCAAATTGTGGCGCAGATTGGATGACCATAAGCTTTAATGCTTATCGGATGGCCGGCAACAAGGTTCGTTTAATAAACTGACTAATGCCGGTCTCTAGGCTTCGACACCCCGTCCCATACCCATTATCCCATCCTGACTGTTGTGCTTTTCTCTCAAAAGTTACAAGGCTGGGAACCCAGAGACCCTCATCAACATGGAAATCCAGTTGTCGTTGCTGTTTATATATATTTTTTTGGCCGTTCCTGTTCCTGTTCTGTTATTGCTGCTTCAGTTTTTAAGCCTTGTTTTCGAATGTTTACCGAACGCATTAGTTGACGAGTTCGGCATTGTTTATGTTATTGTTATTGTTATTGTTACTTTATTTTGAGTTTTTATTTAAAATTTGTTGTAACTTTGGGTTATTTATTAGAAAGTTGCACTGGCTGAGAGCTAAGCTGCCGCCTGCGAACGCGTTTTTTTCGTAACTGTCGATGGGGCAAAAAAAATTTGACTAAGCGGAATGTCCACAGACGGAGCGTACTTTCGCTGTTTGTTCTCGCTCCTTTCCCCGCCCTCCCCCTGTCGGTGGTTTCCCCACTTTCTCTATCACTTTCTCTAGCGTTCCATCTCGCTCTTACTCCAAGTGCCATCCTCATCGTGTTGAGTGTCCTGCCGCCTTCTCAAATTGCACAGCAACAACACGAGTATTGCAAAGGCGGCAGGACAATCGAACCAACATCTACACAGAGAGAAATATATACATCAAAATATATATCACTACATTAACAAGATTAAGGTTTATTATTCTTTTAGCAATAAATAAGTCAAGAATCAAACATTTTGTTCAACAGCAAGCCTTAGAAGAAATAGTTAGTTATTGTTATATGTTAGTATGGTATAGTTATATTGTATTGTTATTGTTATAGTTATAACCCTTATATTTTTATTTTATATTTCATAACCTTGAAATCAATTTTTCTCTCAGTGTTTTTACGCAGGTACGGCCAGGCAAATAGAGTTCATTAATCGGTTTAATGGCTTGACTGGATGACTGTACGAAGACCAGCTGACAAGGATACACAACGCTGTTGTCGAGGCTGTTCAACTCGATTCGAGGACTTGTAACTATTTTAGATTGGCACGAGACTTTTCATATTTTCAATGCCAATTCTATAAAATGTATCCCCTATCCCCTGTATCCCCTAACCCCTTCCACGGCCAATTTTGAGTAATGGACGTTTATATAACCACAATGACGGCAGTTTGGGGTTTCCTTGGCGTTTACTCGGTTGGCGATGTTCCTGCTTGGGCTTTGGCTTCTGGTGATGTTTCTGCTTTTGGACAAACACTCAGGACACACCTCAAAAGCATTAACAACAACCGACCGACAGACGGACCCACGGACAGACGGAGGCGGCCAAGCCAATATTTGGATGGCAACCACAACGATATGCGGGTACGAAATGAAAGTGGAAACGAGAGGGTGCCAGGAGGACTCTCAGACAGAGACAGAGTATGGACTCTGAGGGCTTTTCATTTGTATTTATTTCATTGCGTTTTTCTTTTCGGTATTGGCATTGCTGTGTTGCTCTGGCCATTTATGAAATGACATTGAAACAGTTTTGTGTGGCTGGTTTTCAGCTCTCTCTTCCCAATTCACTTTGAGGAAAGCAACAGCAACAGCAAAAAAAAAACGTGAAAGGAAGAAAAACGAACTCGACTCTCTTATCTTTCAAATTGGTTGTCGCCCTTGGGTTCCCTATCCATTCTATAGACTCCTGAACCTCCGGCCCAATGAACCGTCCGGCAGCTGGCCAGCTCTGACCCCCCTCCTTGACTTAACACCCAGGTCCCCAGACCGAAATACGCATTCACTTATTTATAGCCCTGCGGGTCGGAAGAAGTCTGGTTTCCTTCTCTTATTTTTATAAGGAAACCTAAGTAATGCAATTATCCTGGACAGGACATGAGATCTGGGCGAGAAGTCCACCGACTTGCGGAGGAAATAGAAAATGCACCAGAGATAAGCTTAAAAAAGCAAGAGGCTTCTGGTTTAAGATTAAAGATACAAAAGTCAAAGGACACCTGGAGGATTATTTGCTTTTTGCAAATGAAACAGAGATTATATCGTATTATTTGAAATTCAAATTAGAGAAATGAATAAAATATATATGCTAATCTGGATTATGAAATGTGTGGGATTAAAGCCTTAAAATTTTTGTCCGAAAAGATCCTTCAACTTTGATATTTGTTAGAGTATTCTGAATGGCTTGAAGCCCAAAAGCTCTAAACGTCAATCCCAAAAAACACCTCTCACCCCTTGGCCGTTTTTTGTTTCTCTTTTTACAGTGTTTTAAGTCAATTGACACGTGCTAATAAAAATTTCTGCGGGTAACCAAAAATGGCATTCAACTGGCGCTGACGAGGAGCGACGAGGAGGCGGCAGCTCGGGGCGATGCCTTTGCCTACGTGACAATAGAGGAAGTAATTAAAACGCGATTTACGGCAAGGTCAAGTTTATGAAGGTCTGCCCAGTTCATTTGCATTGGTCTGGAATGGCTGGATGACAGACTGAGGGTTGGGGTAACGCTGAGGGACCCCTGGAAAAAAAGGGGCGATTGAAGTTATGCAGACAATGGAGAGTTGTGCGGTTGGGGCACCCGCACTTCCCAAAACTGGGCCAGGCGTCAATCAATTAGAACAATTACTTAATTACATTTCCACATAATTGAATTGTGGTCAGGGACAGAATGAAATTACGGCCACGCCGAAGCGGTGATATGTATCAGCCATGGGTCGTGGCTTATTGGCTATCGTTTATCAGACTTGTTTATCTTCAACTCGCATCAAATTGCGCATACGCCACGTTGGCAATGCAATTTTATGCCGGTTTTAAACTCTTTAAAGACGGACGCTACTTTAAAGGCTGTTTGTGACAAGCTCGTTAGAAAAAGCTTATTATTCTTCGATTTTTTTTTAATCAATTATAAAATGTAATTTCCCCTACCTGTATCAGCTTTCTGCCATTTTCCACATAACCGCAATCACTGGCATCCGGTTGATGGCGATGCTTTTGATGGTGATTCTGCTTCTGGTCAGCCCGGGCTATTGCCTCCTCCGGATTGCCTTCGCCAACGGGTTCTGCCAGCTCATCGTCCTCATCATCCGAGCCATCCTCATCATCGTCCTCCTCGTCGGTCTCCGCATTCTCCGCCGTCTGTCGGCGATTCCCACGGCTATATTTTCGATGCCAGCTCCGGCGTGGATAGTGGAGGTGGTGCACCTCCAGGCCACCCTCACCATTCACTGACATCGGTATCGAGGTGGCTGCCTGCTCAACCGTTATCGTCGCCGTGGGCGCAAAGGGAGCAAAGAGCCCACCGCTAATCTCCTCCAGCGGCGGAGGTGTAACGCCCACTGATGTCTGATGGGAGCCGCAGGGCAGCTGCAGTTGGGCCGGTGCCGAGGAGGCCGGACCCACAAATCGAGTGGTGCGGTACATGGGACGGGTGGAGAGGCTGTGGATGGAATATACGGATAAAAATAGTTTATACATTCCATTGTTTTATTGTATAAGTTTTATGGGATAAACATTTCATATAAAATATAGGAATACCTACTTGTAGCCGTATTTTGGTGACTCGGTTTCTGGTCTTCTTCGGGTGGACATCATCGTGTTGACACGATCTCCACGGGCGGCAGCCATCATATAGGTCCACATTTCTGGGTATCTGGATTATTCGGATGGTTGGATGTCGGATGGAATGCAACTACGCAAGGCACGAACACATCGGCACCACCATTTTGAAAGAGCCTGCAAAAAGGAAGAAACTTTGCATTCATCTCTGGTTTAGAGTGTAAGTTGTTTGTGGCCCAAGTGCCCTGGCGGCCTGAACGCCCACTTGGCGGCAATTGTGCTGAACAGTGGTCTGGCCACGCCCTCTTTACGCCCCCAAGTTGCACCTCCGAGGAGGCAAGCGACCAAGCAACCAGCGAGACCCGAGGCAGTCATAAATGTTCCTTTCTGCAGGGCCATAAAACAGTTTGAGCGACGTTAACATAAATGGCAGCCGCTTAGTGGTAAGAAGTCGAAGGGGTCAGGAGGGTGATACCAAGGGCTTAGGTGTGAGAATCAAGGGGTCTGGGGACTTTCTCCTGGCATGTCTACTGTGCAGCAGTAATTAAGCAATTAAATGCAAAATTGTTGGCTTGCGAAAGAGTCTGTGGTTTCTTAAAGGGCCCCATGATGTAGGCAACAGAAATTTTCCAAGTGGAGCATCCTGCCTGCAGCTCGTGTGTAAAAGTTTCGAAAAGGATAAGAGGCAAACCGTGCCAGCAGGTAATCAGGAAACCATTTAAAGCTGATAGTGTATGATTAAGTGGCATTAATTGGCTTGGTTGCCCGCCATTAATTTTATCCCGCCATCCCGACGGCGGCATCGCTGGGAGCTCCAGAAAGTCGAAGAAAAATGTCTTGGAAAATTCAGAACCAAATCCTTAAATGAAGCAAGCTGTTTCTGCACTTTAGTCAGTGTTAATTGAAGTGTGCTAGGATCCTGCAGTCGGCAGCAGCTGTCCAAGTAAGGAAAGTTCTCACTTGGCAAATGAAAAGCAAATAAATAATTCCGTTTCGACGCGGGCTAATGATGCGCAAATGATAAATACAAGCTGCCAGATGAGCGAAAAATTTCCCAGATATAAACCAAATGCAGCTGTGACTCACAAAAAAAAATGTAGAAAAATAGAAAAATGATATGAAATTCTCATCGTTTGGGTTGGGGGGACTACGAATGCAAATGCAATGGCTGATAATCAAAACGAGCGCAAAAATGAAGCACCAATGCGAAAGTTTATTTTTTTTATGCAATTTCCACACAAAGAAGGTAGTTGGACAGCCCTCGCAAATATACATTGAGACTGAGGGAAAAACACAAGTTGCAGCGGATCCTTTGTCCTTGTTCGTCCTCTTTGTCTGGCAATAAGCAGCATTTACTGTCGCGTGATTTTATGTCATAGATTATCTTTGGGTTGCACGCTCCTCCAGCCAAGCATTCAATTTTAAGTGCAATTTCGGTTTCTCAAATGGAATGGTAACCTTCGATGAGTCAGGGGCTAGAATCTTTCGTGTCTTTGACCGCCCTCTTGGTCCATTGTCTTTTTTGGTTCGGGGACTGAGTGAAAGATTCAAAATTATCAGCCACAGCCTCAGCTCTAGCCTCGTCACCCTTCGCCCGCTTGCCAGCATCGATTTTTAGCTATAAAATCAAAGTAAATCCATTTATCAACTTCAGCTGCAAACATTTTTCGTCCAGATAAGAATTGACTTTGATAAAATGTGGCTCTTCGGGCAAGCCACTTTAGATGTTTGCATCTTTTCCTTTTTGAGCGTGGGAACCAATCAAAATCTGGTCCCTTGCAGCGGGATAACTTGGCAATTAACCCATGAACCCATGATCGAAACCGCAACCGCAACGGCCGACATAAACTTCAAAACTAGACAAACTTTTGGTCCTGCCTTTGGCATAAAACCGCCGCCAGCTCCTCCAGCTCCAGCGCCATTCAATTGCTAACGAGCCATAAATGTTGCTCCTGTGTATTGCACTGCAACAAAATGTCTTTGGCTTGTAAAACCAAATATTACTACTTTTATTGTCTCGAATGTGGACTTGAGGAATTTACTTTTCGTGCACTTATGTGGCTTATTTGTAATGATTAAGTGGCACCATGGGGGCGAATGAATCGGAAGGAATCTGGGGGGAACGTGTGAACTTTATGCCCCAAAGGAATCGTTTACACCCGCCTCACTTAGTGGGGATTACGAGTGTCCGAATGGCGGCTGGAGTGGAATGGGGAGTTGTGACTACAAAGAGCCCTAAATAAGTAAACACATGTCCATATTGAAAACAAATTTCGCATTTGCTGCGACCTTCTGTCCATTTCCGTTTGTCAGCTGGGGGGTATCAATTAGAACTTCCCACAGAGCCAGCTCACAGAAAGAAGAAAGAAATGTTTATTCAATATAAAGCATGGCTCCTGCTCCCTCTCCCACTCATACACTCACTTTTATTTTATTTCACTTTTTTTTCAATCCAATTCTATTGCCAGCTATCATTGTTTAATCCTCACAGACGCATCACGTATACGCCATGTGGGTGCGAAGCGAGACTTTCAAGTTCAATCAAAATAGGGGGGGACCAAGTTGAAAGCTATTCTAAAACAGGATATCCACACGCGCAGATACACTTTGAACGGGGATGCACAAAATATGCTAATGTCAATTATTTTGTGCGTAATTTGCTTTTCATGCTTCGACGGGGAATGTGTAACTGGCGCCCCATTATGAATATTCATTTCCCACATATATGTATGTATGTATGTGGAGGTGTTTGGCAGGACCCACTCCCTCACTTTTTTTTCCACAGCACTTGCTCATCCTCCGCGTCCCCTTTGTTCGCTAATCATGCCACAGCCACCAATCGCAATCGACTTATCTAATCTGTTTTGGTGGTTTCCCTGGCATGATAAGTACCAATAGGGTGGTTGGGTGGCTGGCTGGCTAAGGGAATAGGTGTATCTGCCACTGTCCCGAAAAGGTGAGGTGACTTCAATTAACATTCGTGCACGTAAACGCAATAACGCAAATGGATTCGGGCTTTGTTTAATAAAATGTGATATTTATGGAGTTTACTGCTCCTCTTGAAGCTCCCCATCCCCTCTATATATGTACCCCTTCAATTTTTACCTACCCCACAGATAGCGGATGCCAATTAATGTGGCACCAAGTTTGTTATTAATTTGTTTCTGCTGGAGTGTGAGTGTGTGGGTCCAATGGCTGTGGATAACAATTAGACAGAGCGATATCCATATCGGAATGGTGCGGACATGGAAATCACGCATACGCTGTGTGGTCCCGCCTGTTGCACTTTTCAAAATTAATTAACTAAGAGCATACGGTACTTTTAAACTATTTTAATCAAATATTTTAATACTTTGTTATATGTAGTATCCAGGAATGTTAGTAACTAAAATATCAACCATACGCCCCGTGACCACAATAAAAAAATTAGAGATTAAAGCCTGTTGCACTCGGATGTACCTGAAAGTTTTGGTTTCCCCTGGATTCCCTGCTAATCCTTAAAACTGTCAACGGCGGAGGTGATGCGTAATCCTATTAGCAGACGCTTGGCGTCGCCTCTTGAGCCGAGTCTCCTTATTATTTGCACACTTGTGCTGGCATTGGATTATTTAGGAATGCGTGCAGTAATGCCAACATGAAATTTGAATATTTTTTACGCCTCGCGACTTACGCAAATCTTTGCATATTTTCACACACACCCGCACACACGCTTTCACACACACCAGAAACACTGCGAAATGACAACCATTTACATTTGTTGCTGCCTTGGCGGGATATCCTTTCCTTTCCCCTCCTTTTTTTATGATTATTATTTTTCCTGATTATTCGCGTTTTGTGCACTTTTTTATTGAATTAAAATTCAAATGAAATGTGACGGCTGGCTGGAATTCGAATAGGACCGCGCCAGGGTTTTTGAAACACGTTTTGGAATGTCCGATACGGAATCTTGGGTAGTATCCGCCCCGTGTACGTTCGCTTGCCCGGTTGGCGGCGCAATGAGAGCTCCGTCCGGAAACAGAAACAGAAGCTGAAGCTGAAGCTGAAGCAGAAACCGAAACTGAAACTGAAACCGAACCCGAAACAGAAGCAGCAGCAGCAATGGCAGAAGCTGAGGCAGCCAGAATCCGAATCCGAACTGAGCCGAGCTGCCGTTCCTGCTTTTCATTCATGACTGCCGGACGAGCTTTCCCGCAAAAGCTTTTCCTTCTCGCACGGAAACTGGCTCCCGACAACCTGTTGCACGGCCAGACGGCCAGGATACTCACAGGGATCCCATTGGATAGGATGCTGGACCAGAGTTACCAGAGAGTCGGCTGTTGCCAGGCCGCCGGGATAACATAAATTAATTAAATCAATGCTCCAATGCTCGTTTTGGTTGATCATCTGACACATTGACAAATTGTCAGGGTCCTGGGTATGGGCAGGCTCGAGGTTCGAGTTCATGTTCGGATTCGGATTCGGGCTCGGGGTCATGGATTTGATTTTTGGCCCAGGGGCCAACTTGGTTCATTTGGTGAAGTTGATTAATGCATCTATTGCCTGTTTTTCTCGCTCTGCCTTGATTTAAACTTGTCTACCACATATGCTGTCCTTTGGACGCCAGGCAGATCGTAGACAGGAGGCGGGATGGCCTCATCTCCAGCGAAGCTTCCTTTCTTTGTTGACAAAAGGTGCACTGACATCTGACCAAATCGAACACAACTAATTCGGCACGATTATTCACATACCGCATGAAATTAGATTAAACTTTTCCAGAACATTATTGTGGTTGTGCTTGGGCCATTGGTTGCCTCCACAGAAATGGGGGTAAAGTTTTCCTTGAACATCTGTGTCTGTCTACGATTATTACTTTTGCTCTTATTACACATGAAAAAAAAATATAAATTCTTTTAAAAGGGGGTATAAATACAGGGGGGAATACATATAAATATGAAAATAACAATGATAATCTAGTACATATGCTTAAACATACTTAATATTTATCTATTTTATCTTTATAAACCTCAAAGTTTTCTTTAAGTGCCTTCTAAGGAAACTGGAGAGAGAGCAAATAGTAAGAACAGTTCATTGTTTGAGCCCAAAGTTCAATAGTTCGAGCCACAAGTTCACTCACCAAACAAGATGGCAAAGGCCAACAAGTGGCAACAGGATTTCAAGCCTGTCAGGATGGAGACGTTTCCATCGAAATCCTGCGACACTGACAGCTGCATACATATGTATATATATTAAGGACCCATACCACCACCAGTTTGCCACCAAAAATTCCAACATACACTAAGCATATTGTGTGTGTTCATGTGTCTGAGATACAATGACTTTCGCATTCACAATTTCCAGTAATTTGTTATTCAAACACATTGCGAATCGATTATCCGCTTGGCATGCTCCCTCCAATCGAGCAAATATGCTGATTGACTTTTGTCAAGGCTTATGTGTGTAGCCCCACCCTGTGGCAGGCACCTCAATCCAACATCCCCCGCCGTACGCAGGGCCATAGAGCCTTTGTGTTGCATGGATGAAATGCCAAAGCAAATATAAACGAGGAAACGCGGGAGGATATGGGCTCTTGTTGGGCTTTCACTTTTATCCAGAGTCGGGGAACTTCGACCTAACACCAATCACTCGCTTTTTACACATATCCACTGAAAGAAATGTCGTTTCAAACCATAGGGATATAACTTCAATAAGTTTAATAATTTTTTTCTAGTGCACACTTATACGTATGGGCGGGAATGCCTGACTGGTTCTTCATGGGCGTGTTCAGGGTTCGATAAGCCAGTCAGTTGTAGCATGGGAAGTTAAAGGTCCCATACATTCAACCGGGAGCAGAGTTCCCATAAAGTTAGTATAGAAATGTCTGTCAAGGACTTCGGATAACCTTTGCTCGAGGTCTCCGCCAGGCTTTAAATATTTGTCGGGATCTGGATATTTATCTTGAGCAACAACTGGCCGAAGGTCCCGGAAGTAAGCCACAATTCCCACAGATTTCCTGCCCCAAGGCGCTGTCTCAATGTCACTTGTTGAATGGAATTGATTGCCGCGCAATAAAATGTAATTGCAATTGCTCAGCTTGAATTCAATGTTAAGGTGCAAGGACATTAATTAACAGCAAGCAGCAGCTGCTGTCCGGGAGTCCTGAAGTGGCTCTGATTGCTCGGCATGCCACTAAGCGGCCTGCATATTAATTAGAGTACCAAATGGAATGGAAGAAAGTGAGCTGGCTGCAGTACATACTCCCGGCAATGCAAATATGCAAATTTTTTGGGGTGCACACGCTGCTCTTATCTGCGTTATATGGAAATAAACTGCTGACCTAGCTGTGACAGGAATTCCATAAATACTCGAATATATGCGAATGTGAAATATGAGAGGCGAAAGGGCCAAAGGTTAAAGTTGAGCTTGATAAATGTGCGCACTTGATCCGCTCGAGCAAAATCCTTGGGTTGACAGCATACTATACAGATGGCATCTTGGATAATTGCACTATGATTATGAGTACACAATTTATTGAACGATTTCGCTAGGAGATTTTCGTATTAATTAATTTGTTAAACGGCCTGGGACTTGGTCCTGCTCTTAATTGACTTGAGCTGTTGCTGCATTTCCTCGCATCGCTGGCATTCACGTGTCAGCTGCTTGACAGCCAAAGCGTACTGCCGCTGGATCTCCAGCAGTGATTGCAGCTCCTCATTCAGCTCGTCGCGTCGCATTCGCTCCTCGTTGTACTTGTGCCGCACCTTGTCTTGGGCGCTCTTGACTCCGTCCACAATCGACTCGAACTGGCGAATAAAGTCCTCCCGGCCGTGCGGACTCATCATTCCCTCGTTGTAGGCCTCACAAATGGAGTTCAGGAGTGTCAGCTCCTTTTCCATATAGCGCTTTTTGTCATTAAGTGTATTGTATAGAATGTAATATTGCTTTGTTTCCAGGTGCTTGCCGCTCATCTCGTTGTGCAGCTCGTGAAATCTGCGCTGATACTGGGCCAGCTCTGTGCGATCGGGTATGGCGTCCAGCTTCCGTTCAATGGCCACTATTCCGCGATTCCGCTTAGCCAACTGTAAGCGCAGCTCCTTGAGACGCTGCTCCTCGGCAGCCAAGGCTGCAGCCTGAGCTTCCGCATCCTGTGCACTAAAAGCTTCCAGGTCACTGAAAATAAATGATTATAACCATTAACTTATAAGTAAAAGTTGTTTAGGACTTTTTTAAGATAAACTTACTCAATTTGTTGCTGTAAGGTGGCTAAATCCGTTCTGCAGGATTCTTTGAAATCCGCTTCGCTTTTCTTTAGCTCTTCGTGCTGTTGCAGCAACTTTTGAACCTTTTCCAACAGCCTGAAAGTATTATTAGGTATAAATATTATAAAAACAAGAACATTTTTCAAACTTACCTTGGGTCTGATTGCTCTTCTATGTCTTTGTGTGATTTGAGCTCAGCAATTACAGTATTTAATTGATCTTCTACTTTCTTGGTCTTTTGAGCCTGTTCATCTTCAGCTTCCTTAAGCTGTTCGTTGTCCTTGTTGTAACGCTTAACTTTATGCTCGAAGGCTATTTTGGCGGCTTCCAGTCGCTTCTGCTGATTTTGTGCTTTTAATTCCTTGGCGTCTGTCTCCATCTCGATCTTAAAATCAGCATAGTGCTGCTGGAGTTCGTGTCGGGCTTTTGGATCGAGATCTATGCGTTTCTGGTTGCTTGGAAAATCGTCCCTAACTAGAGATAAACTGCGCAAATATTCCTCAAGATCAAGCTAAAATTATCTATGGTTAGAGTGGTTTTTTAGGATCTATTAGGAATACACACCTCAGCGGCTTCTCCTGGGCTTTGAAATGCCTTTTTATCAGCACCGCTTTTAAAACTTGGCACTTGATTTCCATATTCCAGAAGAGTTAAACGCACCCGCGAAACGTCATCTTCAGCAGGGGCTTCTTGACGTTCATATAACCTCTTGGGCGCATAAAGATCCTGTATAACTTTTATGTTAGCGGAGGCCAGTCGTATCTTGGTCAAATTGTCCTTGTCGCTTTTATACTGATAATGATTGTGGAACTGGCCAATGGCAAATCTCTTCAGGCGCTGTGCTCGTTCCGCTCGATTTTCAACCTAAGAATATAATTTCATAAGCTTCTGTACATTTTTATCCTTCTGAAGAATCTACCGAGGTCTTCACCAGCCATTGGATGACAGGATGAATGGCAAGAAATTCCAGGCCTTGTACTTGATGGGGCTCCAAACTATGTGGACACTTCATGTCAATTAATACAGATACTATCTTCTCTACCAGAGCACTAAAAAACATAATTAGCATAATTGAAGGCTTATTATCTTCAAACCGATCTCACATCTTCTGTCCAATAGAAAGGTTTTCGTGAAAGAGCAGGTCCACATCCACATCATAGTCGCAGCACTCGATGCACCATGTCATTCCACCCACAACTTTGTCAAAGGCGGATAAGCCCTTGATTCGAGCCCTGTAATATCCGGCTGCCACGAGAATGTCGAACGTATCTTGCTCCTTGGCTGTGGCATCCGTGTCCTCGCGACGCTCCACCTGGAAGGAGAAACGAGTTAAAAAAGGTAAACACCAATTAGTTGGGATAAGCTCACCTGGACTTCACGCCCTTCGGCATCGATTCGAGTGGCCAATTTGACATTTGGCAGGATTTTGGAGAAAACATCGCGGTTAGCCATTTAATAGAGCGGGTTACATGCCGAAAACCATCTAAAAACAATTATAAATAAACTATGGCTCTATTTTTTCGTGTTTATTTATTTATCAATCAGCTGGTGTTAACCAACACTAATCCATCTAGCGGTATGTAAAAATTTACACAACCCGGTCACACCGAATCTGTCACCGCATTTTTTTGTCCATTTGAAGCACCGGCTGTTGCAACTTGCAAAACGTTAAAAATGAATTACTACGTGTGTTTGCACCAGGACGGTGTCAGCGACATTCCAAAGTTGATTGAGAAGGCCAATTCGAACAACTACAATGTGGTGGCCATTTCGATCAACCCAAATATCTCACCATTTGATCCACATGTATCTGACCCTACCTATCCGGCGACAATTTTGAGTGCCACCGACTGGAACTCCAAGGTAATATTCAAGCTGTCCGATGTAGATGTCGACTCGCCAAATGTGAAGCTGCGTGAGTACTCTAAGGAGATTCTACTGCGCGACATTGCCTGGGCGGAGCACCTTCAAAATGTTGGCAGCATGATGGTACGGCTGCGCGGCCCGGAAAACACGAATCTGGCCGAGATTGTCCTGTCCAAAACAAAGGGTAAGCACTGGAGGCAGAAGCAGGAAGTGGTAACGCCTAATACAAAGACACTTTCCCCCTAGGAAACTGGTTCATTCAAGTGCCAATCACCAATCCCAAGCTAGCCACATTCGAGCACTGCAAAGACGCCACAGAAGAAGAGATTTCTAAGGCGGAGGCCAACGATCCCTGGCACTGGTGGAACGAACTGCGCTTGGCCGTCAATCAGAACTCAAAGGTGAAGGTTGTTGTTGAGCTGAACGACTCGGATCGTCCCGACAAGGAGACAGTCCGACGCTGGCTGGGAGAGCCTATCGAAGCCATCATTATTCCATCCTCTCTGTTCGTCCGAAACCGCGCCAACTACTGCGTGTTAAAGAAAGAGTGGCAGGTTATCATCGGTCATTTCATATCGGTGCGGGCCAACATAATTATTTCCACCAATCCCAACGACAAAGCCTTGTCTCAGTATGCCGATTACCTGAAGAAGCTGATTAACGAGAACTGTGATACCCATGTGCTTAACAGGTAAGGACGAGGAGCCTTGATCACAATTCATCAGTACTTATCGCTTTTTATTTGACAGTTATGAAAATATGCTGGAGATACCTCTGCAGCCCCTCAGTGAAAATTTAGATAGTTATACCTATGAAGTTTTTGAAAGCGATCCTGTGAAGTACAAGCTCTACCAAGATGCCGTTCAGGCGGCTTTGTTGGACAGAGTTACCGAAGAAGAGGCTAAGAAGAAGTTGGTAAGAAGTCCGCTGGAAACTAACCAATAACTGCGTCTATAAATAGTATTTGTGTTAACAGACCGTAGTCATGTTGCTGGGAGGAGGACGTGGCCCCATTGCCAGAGCTATACTGAATGCCGCCCAGATTACAAAGCGCCAAGTGCGGCTGTATATCATCGAGAAGAATCCCAATGCCATTCGCACACTCTCTCACATGCTCAAGACGCTGTGGACCAACAAGGGTAAGCTATCCTACTATCTCAAAATGTGCATCTAATCCAATTCGTAATCCGCACAGATGTGCACATTTTCTCCAAGGACATGAGAGATTTCTCTCCTCCCGAAAAGGCCGACATCCTGGTGTCTGAGCTACTGGGTTCCTTCGGCGACAATGAACTGTCACCAGAGTGCCTTGACTGTGCACAGAAGCTTCTGAAGCCGGATGGCATTAGTATACCGTACAAGTCCACTTCCTACATCAACCCGTTGATGTCTGTGGTGCTTCATCAGAATGTGTGCCAATTGGTGAGCTCTATACCTGCCTTCGATTATGGTTATGTGGTTCTTCTGAAGAATGTGTATCACATCGATGAACCCCAATCCTTGTTTGAGTTCACGCATCCCAATCGCGAGGAGACGATTGATAACACACGCTGCAAGGTGCTAACGTTTAAGGTGAAGAAGGACTGCGTCATGCACGGCGTAGGTGGGTACTTCGACACCCACCTGTACAAGGACATCTGTCTGAGCATTAACCCATTGACGCACACGGATGGCATGTTTTCCTGGTTCCCCATGTTTTTCCCAACTGTAAGTTATATCTTCGAGGTCTCTTTGAGGTCCATATTCAGAGAATATATCGGAATTTGTTTCATTTTCCAGTATCCCAGAACTCTGAAAGAGGGCGACACCATATCAATCAAGTTCTGGCGCCGCGTAGACCCCGAGAAAGTGTGGTACGAGTGGCAGGTGGTGAACTCTCCAGAGGATTGGGAGCTCCACAACGAAGGTGGCACCGGCTATAACATGAGATTGTAGCTGCAAAGCAATACCGACCTCCAAATGATCCTCAATATGTGTTTTTTTGACTGAAAATAGAATCAAACCGAATAGACCTTAATTTGTCTGCGACTTTTATTTAGTTTTATGTTTGAAAAGTTTATAAATACTCTTAACGTAATTAGATGTCCTTACTTATCTGTGGGGTTTTTATTTCGTTTTCTCTTCTTTGTAAAATTTAGTTATTTCCGGGCTCCTCACATTCATTTAATTAAATTAATATTTATTTTTATGTACTCGTATGTATATTTAAAGCGCGGCATATGATCGGGACTCGACATCTTTCTAAGCGAAGGCATTTATGTTAAGTATGTATAACGTAATCCATTTAGTTTAGTGTAAAGCGGAGCTGAACTGGGCGGCGATGGAGGTTGATTGGATCTACGAGTTGACAGCATTAGCCGGAGCCAGCGGCGCTGTTCCTGCACCTCCAACGGCACCGCCTCCTCGGATGGCGATGGCCCCCTGGCCAGCGCGAATCGGCTTGGCGATCTGCGCTTGGGGTCCGCGCCTGCCAAGGTGCTTCTGTCGCACAGCCTCCTTGATGCGGTCCACCTCGTACTGGTAGCGCTTGCGGTCCCGCATAGCACCTTCCTTTGCCTCCTTCAGCGCCGTCTCGAGCGCCTTCACGCGCTCCATGGTCGTACGCAGGCGCTTCTCCAGCTTGGGAAGCTCGCAGCGCAGGTCGGCGTTGTCCCGCACCAACTGCTTATGCACCTTGGTCAGCTGGTCCAGATTGTTCTCCAAGAACGAAATCTTCTGCTTCTGAGCCAGAGAGCCGCCATCCTCCTCAGGCTCCTCATTGACCACGTTTTTCCGGATGCGTGCCTGGTGGGAGATGAGCATTTTAGATGGTAACCAAAGAGGACATTCTTAAATATGAACATACCTGGAGGTCTTGCACGAAGATCTTGCGCAGATTGTGCAGAGTCTGTAGCTCCTTGGCTACGGTGTCTTCGAGTCCCTTAAGGTCCTTGCGCGCCTGCTCCCGACGCTCGTTGGTGAGGATCATGTTCTGCAGCTCGGTTGACTTCACGGCCTCGTCCTGGCGCACCTTTTCGTAGTCGACAGTCATCTGCTGGTGGGCAAGGACCAGCTTCTGGTGAACGTCCTTCATCTCATCCATTTCGTGCTGCTTGGCAGCAATCTCGTCTCGCAGCTCCGACACCTGGCGAGTGTGAGCCTCGCGCAGCTCGTCCATCTGGGAGTCGAACATGGAACGCAGCTCCTCCGCGCGTTGCTTCTCTTCCGCATTGACGGCAGAAACGTGTTCGGCGGCCTTGAGTTTGGCGCATTCCTCGCGCAGCGAGTCGATCTGCTCCTCAAGGGTGCGTTTCTTGTTCTCCGCCTCGCGCATGGACTCCTGCAGCGACTTCATGCGTGCCTCGTGCTGCGAGATGAGCAGACGGTACTCGCCGAGGTCCTTCTCGTACTCGGAGATCTTCTTGTTTGAGTCACTCTGCTGAGACTCCATGTTGGTGCAGCGCAGCGCCATGTTCTTGGCCTCCGTCTTCATCTTGCTGATATACAAGCGCGCCATGGTGAAGTCCTCCTCCACTTTGCTGGCGTCCGTTCCGGCCAGGGCACTCATCTTCAGGTCGATGGCCGAATCGCCAGGGGCGATTGCCTGGCCCACCTCGCCGAGGTCGCGCAGCAGGTTGGTCAGCATCTCGGTGATGCGCTTCTTTTGGTGCGACGACATGTCCTTAAGTTGCTGCAGCTCCGTGGAAGTGGTGCTGAACAGGGTCTGCTTCTGCTGCAACTCCTCGTTCAGGGAATCGATGTCTTTGTTTTTGTTGTCGATTTCCTGAGATTTCTGGTCGTAGTTAACGGCCAACTCCTCGAGGGCCTGCAGCACCTCCTTCACCTCCTCCTTGGCTGATTCGTTCTCCTGCTGGATGCGAGCCATTTCCGACTGCAGAGCCTCGTACTCCCGACGCGCATTAGCAATCAATTCTTCTTGCTCCATGACCTGCTCCTTCAGCTGCTCGGCGTACTGGCTCTGCTGGTTGATCTCCTCATCCTTGTCGTCCAGCTGCTGATAAAGCCTCTCGCACTCTGTGGCCAGGCGGGCGCGTTCGTCCGCAGTTACCGAGGCGGACATGTTGGCCAGAGCGGTGCGCTGAGCGGCGCTGGCAGCCGCCTCCGCCGCCGCCGCCTGCTGTTGCGCCTCCACATCAAGATTCGGCGTGCTGACGTCCATGAGATCATCCATGTTGATTTGTTCCTCAGCCTTGACGGTCTCTCCCGACCGCCAGCGCGCCAGTTCGAGCTCCAGCTTCTCCACCTTGCCCTTGAGTCGGGCGTTCTTCTCCTTCTCCTTCTCGTAGCGTCGCTTCCACTCCTCGGCGGTCAGCTCCTCGTTGACGCAGACAACGTTCTTCACGGTCTTGGCACGACGGCCGAAGTCCAGGGTGGATTTCGTTTCGGACTCGTTGAAGCTGGCCGGCGAACAACAGATGACAATGGTTGTGCGTGCGTTGCCTCCCAACGACTCCTGCAGGATACGCGTCAGCTTGGAGTCACGATATGGGATGTGCGTTTTGTTGCCATCAGCCAGCGCCGAGATCACGTTTCCGAGGGCCGACAGGGACTTGTTGATGTTCTTGGCCTCGTCGAGCACCGTACCCTCAGCTCCTGTCTTCGAAACCTTTTCGGAACCAGCCAAATCCACCAGGTAGAGCTTGCCGGAGAGCTTCTTCTGGTTCTCCAGATTCTCCTGCTTAACGTTGATGAGGAATACTGAATGCGAACGTGAAGAGTGTTCATTCATGTCTGGAAAGAGTTTATTGTTTAAGTCGGTGTTCTAAAATAAGTTAGTAGTAGATGGGGTCTGGAAAAAGAGCATTCCTTAAATATTAATTTTCTATATGACATAGATATCCAAGCATAAAAAGATATAGTTACAAAATAAACATCATAAAAGATAAATGATAAAAAAATAAATAAATAAAATCCATGATATGCCAAGATAAGGGTGTCTTTTTTTTATAAACCAATAAACCCTACAAAAGTAGCTCTTTTCCAGACCACAAATGGAGATATGGACTCACTTGTCACAGCAATGTGACGATTGGATTTTCCCTCCTCGATCACCTCGAAGACGTCCTCCGGCGAGGAGACGAACCGCTCTGTGGCTCCCTTGACGTAGGGAACACGGTTCTTGTCCTCGTGCACGCTGAGGTTCACCTTGGAGACATCAAGCAGGTCCCGGATCTTGTCCATGTAGATCTCATAGTAGGAAACCTTGATGTGGAACTCCAGGTTCACCTCCATCGCATAGATGTGATTGAAGATGTCGTTGACGATGCGAGGAATGATACCCTGCTTCACCGAGTCCCCGATCACGCCCTCCATCGTGTGCGTCTTGCCAGACGAGGTCTGGCCATAGGCGAAGATCGTGCCGTTGTATCCCGCCAGGACGTCCGTGACGATGGACTTGGCCGCCTCATTGTACACCTTTTCCTGCGATGCGTTTGGCTTGAATACCTTGTCGAACAGGTAGACCTTGCCCTGCGAAGTAAGATGAGTGGGTTTGGGTTTAGCGTTTGGTAGTAGTTTCTCCCGGTGTATGTATTAGATGCGGTGAAATTTCTTTCAGAGATTCCCTCCTTCCCCCCTTTCTGCTTTCCCCCTGACTGCTTTCAAATCATTTTCAACGCATGGCCGCGAAGCAGATTGTAATTATGAGCATCAGGAAGAAATGGGAGGGGGGAAGAATAGTGAATAACGAGCGGCGAAAGAGAGATAGTCGGAGAGAGAGAAGTGCCAGTAATGATAATCTATATGTATGAAGACGACAGCGGCGTAGGCTAGAGGGGATTCAGTTCCCTCCAATTATTTCTACTTAAATTACTCGACAACGAAACCAAAAACCAATTAATTTAATTTCTTTAATTTAAATAATTAACATTTAAATAATAAGACTAACCCCCCGCTCTTAAGATTGATTCTAGTTCCACCACTGTGCTGGGCTGAGGTAAATAAATGCTGACTTTTTCGGTTCTCCCGGTAGAACTGGTTCAATTGCTAAACTGCTATGTATTTCCAGGAAAAATGATGGACTACACCTGTTCCCCGGTTTTGAGGAAAACCAAAGCGGGTTCAACGCTCAGTTATGAAATGGATTTCATGTCAGAAAGCGCCAAAAACTATACAAGCAAATTCCATTGCCTCCCAGTGTTGCTTGTATTGTTTTCTTTTTTTATGGCTGGCGTGCATGACTCACTAGAGCCGGACGACCGAGGGGGGCATTGGGGGAGCACCACTGGCGCGTGTGTATGTGCCGCTTTCAGCTCCTCGCCACTATGTGTGTGGGGAAGTGTAATGTAAGTGAGGTAAGCACTGGAGGCGGACTGGAACTCTAGAAAATGTTTGCTGCAAGAAGGTTACCTAGCTGCTGGCTGTGCAGTGCAGGGCACCTACTCTCGTATTTATGTTTCTCGACCAAAACACCAGCTTTTGTGGGTGGTATTCCTTTTCAGTTTTTTTGTTTTGTCCGCTCACACACCCTGGTCCGCCCTCTCGCTTACTCTCTCTGCGGAAAATCAATTTCATGCAAAACGCCTATTGATTTGGAGTAGTTTTTTTCGGTTGCCTAAGATATCTCAGGTATTTCTTTGGCGTTTTTGTCTCATATTTCTTGGGCAATTAGTCAGTGCCACCAGTGCTGGCTGGTGTCAGTGCCTCTCTCTTTCGGCTGCCGCCGTTCCAATTGGTCGGCGAAATGGGAAGGGTAATGTACGCTAAAAGGCATGACGTCATGACGGAGCACGCAGAGATTAATGCATAACACAGAGTGGGGATGTGACAGATCTCAGGTTAAGTCCGGGCTTGTGTCAGGACATATCAATGTTAATGAGCAACCAATACTTACTGCTATAGAGATGCAATTCTCCTCCACATTGTTGGGAAACTTGACCACGAACTTAGACCCGGCCTTCTCCTCGCTATCGTTAAGCGGTCGGAAACGGCACACGACCTTGATGCTGTCCTCGGCGGGGATCTCGCGTTCCGCGGACATTTTCGCGCTGTTTCTGGCGGAGATTAGCGCTAGAGATCTAAACGCGACAGCTGTTTACGTGGATAATCCCAGCGCAGGGCGCTCTATTCATCTAACACACGATATTTAAGCGCTAGACACACCACTCGCGGTTTCCGGTCCCGAACCAAGATGAATTGCAAATTCCGATTCCTGCGTCCCGATTTTCCGATTCCCTCGCACTTGAGAAAATTTTTGGGGCGGCTCAGCCTGAGATGCAGTGAAAATTTTGTGGTTATACCAGACGCAGGTCTCGCTGCTTCCTCACGGCTCCGGATCTATGGGCTATCGGTACCAGCAATTGTAGTTGTCTGCCGCTTATGTTTTCACAAGCCCGGAATGATAAAGTGCGGCTGATAAATGCACTTTTCATACGTTAGTAGGTCGGAATTTGTGGCACTCCAATTTCATAGGGTTGTTCATTCTAGAGGTGGAGGCACATCGATAAAAACACCGATTATCTTAAAATGTCTGGCAGCCTCTAAAAAAAGCAGTAATTTTTTGGTATTTTTCTGACAGCACAAATTATCGATACTTTCATCAAAATGTCAGAATGATTTAAAAAAAAAAACGTTATTTTTAATTCAAAAGGAAAGAACTATAAAATAAGAGTTTATGTTCAATATTTTGTATATAATTGTAGAAAAGGATAACATTCTGCAAATAAATCTAAAAATTTGTACTATCTTTTTAGTTATAAAAATATAGCAACTAAAACCGTTGATAAACTTATTCATTTATAAATTAATTTAAAAAACATGTTTCTTATATATTCTTTATTTTAAGGGTTTTCGGGTTTTGTATAAAAAACAAATCTTTTAATTATAAAATATCAGCACAACACATTAAAATAATCAGCCAATGTCTTTTTCATTTATTGCCAAAATTTTTAAAATTTACTTTGGCAACGAAAAACAGTTGCCAAGCCTACGTTTTATGCTTTTTTTATACTTCACACTTTGAACCACAATCAAAATTCAAAATTTCACCCAGGACTACACTATGGTAGATTGAAAGCCGGAGATTCTGAGAACGAGTGCGAGGGATTGAGAGCAAGATGGCCCCCAAGGATTACTCTACTTACCTGAAACTCGAGCGCTTGAAGGAAGAGAACAATACCCAGAAACTTATACGGCTATACCGAGACAACGACTGCCTTTGGAATCCCCAGTCGTCGGGTTATCACAGTGCGTCCGTCAAGGATGACGCTTGGCGGAGGGTAACTCGGCTGATGAACAGCGGACTAACTCCTGACCAGGTGAAGCTTCAGGTACTGGCTCTTCGCAATTACTACGATAAGGAGTGCACCGCCATACGGAAGAGCCAGTTGGAGGGCTATAGCTATCTCCCTCGTCGTGCGTACTTCGAGGATCTACATTTTTTGAAAGGCCCGGATGGACTTACTGATCCTAAAGGGGTATGTCTATTTTTTCGTCAGCCCAGAAGAGTAATTGAACTTCCTGTATGCACCCAGGATGAAGGGTCTCTGGTGAACGCTTTAGTGCTAAAGGACGAACGGAACGATTCGGAGGAAACTATTTGCGAAGGAGCAGGTGAGTCTAAGACAGTACTTATTGAAAGTTTTTCAACCGAATGATCTCAGTGTCTTTATGCCCCGGTTCGAGCGAAACCAAGGACAATTATACCTACTACAAGTTGATCCTGGAACCCGAGCAGGCATCATTATCAATAAAAAGCCGGGATGGTGTCGAGGGCATTATAGGCCGATCGGCTTCCGGGAATGATCGATGGTATCCCACCTCCTATTGCGTGAAATGTGGTCAGGAGACGGGTGAGAATCCCTGTATAGGGTGCTGTGGACGAGGAAAAAGATTTTGTGCGCCGAGAGAACCATCTTTAACTTCTCTAAGCCAGGATGATAGTTATTACTCGATGAGGAAGCCCCAAAGAAGGAATCAATTCGATGACGACCAGTGTTCATATTCTCGCTGTAGTCAGCCCCGCCAGAATTTTCGATCAAATTACCAACAACCTCAATCACAAGGTCCTAGATATCAAGAAAGTTCCTGTGATTCTGTATGCAGTGAAAGTACCTATGTAGACATGGATAACGGCTCGGACGACTGGCCAAGTCCACATCTTTGTGGTCAAAGGCGTCCAAAAGTTACGCCTCGATATCGTTATGTGGTATCGGATCACGGCCTAAAGGAATGTTGCAGTAGCAGTTGGGAACGCAATAATGAGGCAATATGCCGGCGTCTGCAAGCTCAACTGGCCAAGCAATCCAATCAAAATAAATGCTCCTCTCCGAGTCAGAATTCCGGCAGAGGATCCTGTAATCGGAATTTCCGTTACCAGTCTGGCGAAGATGAGTTGAATGTAATGTTGCTAAAGGATTGCCGATGCCGGCAGTCCCAGGCCATTAATTGCCAATGTGCAGTTCATTCAGAGCTCTATAACAATAATTCGCCCCAACAGGATCCCGGACGTTTCCAAGAAAATCAGCCAAACCCACAGCCCCAGACTCCACCCAGTGAGAATCCACCAATGCAAGTTACGGAGCGCTATAACGATGATCAAATGGAAGTTCCGGATCGCTATAACATCGAGCAAAAGAATTATTCAAGCTTTCCCTGCGATTGCCAGTGTAACAGCTTCCGCCAACAACCCCATCAACCGCCCAGTTACTACCAACAGAACCAGTACGAAGAGGGGCCCACGAGCTATCCCCTCCCAGCAATGCCGGATACCACCGCACAAATAGATCAGTACGGAGAAATGGGTGTGCCCTGTCCGTTTCTAACCAATTTTGATCCATCCACTGCCGAGCCACAAGCTCATGTGTACTGCTACTCCACGGAGATGTGGCCACAGGATACAGGTATGTGTGAATCGTGCAAAAGGCAAAATAAATCCTGCTGGTCAACGTGTCCTGTGTATCGGCGGAGTAATGATGATCGGTCAGAGCTAGCATGTGATACCGTTTGTAATGGCCCTTTTTCCTCCAACAGAGGAGCGCCGGATAATCGAAATGTGTATTCGGAAGAATCCGGTGGCGTCGTCAATCAAAAAATACCATCAAATAATCTAGAGGAGCTACCCCGGGAAAATAATATGCCGGAACAAGAGGACAAGTCCCTAGATGGTCGGCAGCGAGCAGACGTTGGAGAATCCTCTGATGAAAGAAGTAGAGGTCGTCCATATTCCAGAGGGAATAATGAAGAACCTTCAGTAAGAAGCCAGCGCGATGTCGCACTGGATCCATTTCTCGAAGAAAACTTCTGTAATGAAGCTGCTTGTCGAGAAGGTAGAGATTGCCGTATTGGATATGAAGATCGTCCTCGCCAGAAAATAGATCGCAATGATGAAAGTTCAATGAATTCAAATTATTCGAATCAAAGGCGGAGAATAAGAGGGGATGTACCAAGCCATGAGAATCCAGAAAATCAACAAATTCAACAGCAGCCCTTAAATGAAAATTACGTCCAGGATCAAAAGTTTAAAGCTTATCCATTGTCCACAGACGTTTCGCAATTTGGGAAGTGTCCTGAATCCTGTCCCAAATACAGACGCAATGGCGACTACCGAGAAGACAGAAAGCCTATGCCATCAGCCGACCGTAAAAACCAGGAATGGAACGGAGAAAACATTAGTTCCAGATCCAAAGGTCTGGACGATCGTGATTATCAGGACGAGCAACGAGGAATCGTAAGTTCCAGATCAAAAGGTCCCGAAGTACCTCTGCCGCCTGGCTATGAAGCTGAGAATGAAAAACCACGAGCCAAGACCAGGCCTCAAGACGATCGAAGCTACCAGGAACAGAACAGAGAAAACATGAGTTCCAGATCAAGAGGTCCAGAAGATAGTATTTACCAGGACAGGCATCGAGGAAGCATAAGTTCCACATCGAAAGGGCCCGAAGTTCCTGCGCCGCCTGAATATGGGTCTGAGAATGAAAAACCTGAACCAAAAATAAGGTCAAAAGGTCCAGAAGTTCCTCTGCCTAATAATGATGAATCTGATAATGACCAACCTCAACCCAAGACAAGAGCTCTAGATGATCGGAGCTACCAAGAAGCGAACAGAAGCGTAAGTTCCAAATCAAAAGGTCCAGAGCAACCTGACTATGAATCTGACAATGAACAACCAGTGAAGAAATCAAATAAAATGCCAAGATCTAAGGATGATTCTGATACAATGGAGGAGAAACAAATTGGGAGATCTAAAAGCAATTATGAAGATCAAGAGGAGAATCTTAATTCCAGGAGGAGATCCTTTGATGAAAAAACAAATGGATCGTCCAATCGTTACGAAGACAACTGCGTCGATGAAACCTGTCCAAATATGGGAGCTAGAAACCGACAAAGAAATTATCGAAATAATAACACAGAGGTCCCTGGATGCAATAATAAAACGTGTCCAAGACTGAAAAGTATTTCTTACTTAAGAGGAGGTGATGGACGGAGACATTACCGAGAATCGTTTAATGTTGAAGATCAAAATAGGAATTATAGAAATGAACGCCGACATTATAGACCCCAAGAGGATCGCAGAACTAGACGGCAGTTTGAATGCAACGATTGCACCAACGATAAATGTCCTTACAGAGAAGAAGAAAATGTGGATTATTCTGATGAACCCCTCCCTTCAAGACAAAATAAGGATCGTAGAACTAATAGACGGACGAATGATGAAAACTGCACTAGAGACACATGCCTTTATAGAGATGACGAAGAGAAGAGTTATTCAAATGGTCGTCGTCCTTCAAGATCACGAAAAAATCCTACTAACCGGAATGCTGATACTGAAGCTATACTTCCTGAAGAAGACGATCGAAATAAGAATTATTCTAAGAAAAGACCTCAAAAAGGTCGTATTACTAATCGGGACGCGGATGAAAACTTTTGCACTGACAAAACATGCAGATACAAAAAAAAGGATTCATCAAAACAGAATGAAACTGAAGAACGGAAAAAGAGGAGAAAGTATACCGAATCCGAGAAGATTCTAAGTGACAACGAGAAGAATTATACCAGAAGATACAAAAATAATGGGGATGCGGATGAAGACTTTTGCTCTGATGAAACATGTAAGTACAACCAAAAGGATTCATCAAAAAAGAACGAAACAGAAGAAACGAGAAGAAATTCTACCGAATCCGAGAAGATTCTTAGTGACACCGAGAAGAATTATACCAGAGGATACAAAAATAATCGGAATGCGGATGAAGACTTTTGCTCTGATGAAACTTGTGAGTACAAAAGAAAGGATTCATCAAAACTGAACGAAACAGAAGAAAGAAACACGAGAAGAAGGTCTACCGAATCCGAGAAGATACTAAGTGACAACGAGAAGAATTATAAGGCAAGGTCCAAGAATGATCGGGATGCGGATGAAGACTTTTGCTCTGATGGAACATGTAAGTACAACCAAAAGGATTCATCAAAAAAGAACGAAACAGAAGAAACGAGAAGAAAGTCTACCGAATCCGAGAAGATTCTAAGTGACAACGAGAAGAATTATAAGACAAGATCCAAGAACGATCGGGATGCGGATGAAGACTTTTGCTCTGATGATACTTGTAAGTACAAAAGAAAGGATTCATCAAAACTGAACGAAAGAGAAGGAAGGAACCCGAGAAGAAAGTTTAACGAATCCGAGAAGATCCTAAGTGACAACGAAAGGAATTATACTAAAAAATCTAGAAATAATTCACCTCCAAAGAGCCCACGCTACCAACCCAGAACTAGGTCTGTAGAGAAAAGAAAAAAAGCATCTCCGAGCTCTAAAAGTTCCAATAATGACGACTGTGACTGTGATTGGGAGGAGAAACTCAGGGAAGAAAGGTCAGAAAGATATAGAAACCCGATTTATGATGAGGAATCTGAAGAAAGGTATCAGAACGACTCATCCAAGGGTGGGGATCGATCAGGAAGAGGATTTTTAAATTACCATTTAGCTAACCCAGATGAAGATGTATATGATGACGACTATTACTCCGATGATGACAGAGGTAATTATACTGAAAGGGACACGAGAAAAAAGAGAAATTTAGACGATTGTAGATGCATTGAAGAAGCCCCAGCCACCTCGTCCAGGAGAAAGAGCAATGGTCGGTCCCAAAGATCGGACGCACCGAGATATGACAATCGGAGTAAAAGGGACGATTTTGATAACGGTTATGATGAAAATGAAGAAGCATATGATAGAAATAGGAATCCAAAGCCAGCCCCGCCAAAGGAAATGAACGTAACAGAAACATCTCCGTACCTTTCTGAATATGACTGTCTTTGCAGTGATGAAGAACTTTATCAGAGAAATGCTAGGGATCAAAAAGGTAAAGACGATCAAAATCAAAAAACCACCAAAAATCCACCAACAGATGAAACAAAAGACCAGCAGTCGACTGATGACGATAAAAAGCCCCAGGAAACTGAAGAAAATGTATGCGAATGCCATTCTGACTCCGATGAGAAAATGAAAGCGGATGATCCAGAAGCAGATGGGGTCAGGGTTACGCGATCTTCGGCTGGAAATGGTTTGGTTTCATCGAAGAGTCCTTTTCTTTCAAAAGTCAAACGAAATGTTCCCCTTGGTATCACCATACTTGCCCCAATCAGCATCAACAATAAGCAGTTTGAAGTTGTCCAGAAATTCCCCGTTCACGACATGACCACGTTTAGTCTCAAGGAACAGGTACAGGGACTAAAAACATCCTCACAGGACTCCGCCAGAAATCCCATACCTGTAAAGAAAAAGCCCACACATAACAATAATGGAGCATCAACGTCTTTTGCTAAACCTTCTAAGCCAAGTCCCAATCGTCGTGGATCGGTTACTCCAAAATCCCAAATGGTGGAGCCGATCAAGCGACGAACTCAAGTTTCCAGCCACTCCAATCCTCAGAGCAAGCACATGACCCCGCTAGGCAACCGGCGGCCAACCACAAGGAAGCAGGAATATACCAAGGACTCTGACAATTGCAAGTTTCTCTTTGACATAAATTCGGCACAATATTACATTTGCAAATTACAGGACGACGGTAGTGCCAATCAGTACCTCATCCTCATGCCGATGGAGGCGATTGGGGGTCTCGAAGGCCTCGGGGAGGTCCCAGGACACAGTTCTGCCAAAGACCGGCGCTACTGCCCTCGGCAGAGTTCCGGCTTCCAGAGCGTGTCCTGGGCCCATCCGGAGTCCACGAACCAATCCCAAGAAACACAACAGTCTGAGAGACGCAAACAGGCGGAGTGCAATCCCATATTGGACGCAATTGAAGTAAACAAAAGCCACATTCCCTCGGAGGTGACGGATCCCAAGAAATCCATTCCCATTTCACGAAAGATGCGCCGAAAAGTTGCAACGAAACCGATGACATCCAAGGCTAGAAAACCATCACAAAAGGTCAATACGAAGGGCATTGAAGAGAACCGGACCCCCAAAGGTGATATGGAGAACCTTGACCAACCAATAGTTTTCCTGCATCCTCCTGTGGCAGACTTCCGACCCTCGAGATACTCTTTTGATAAGGAAGCGGTGGAACAACACATTAAAGTACCCGACATCGTAGTCCATCCGGCCCCAAAACCCCTGGCCAAAAAGGCGCCTAAGCCGCCCGCCAAGCCCAAGCGAACAGTCCTTCGGTGATAAATCCATAGCTGTTATGTCTTAACACATACTTCCCGGCCATGGCCAACGATTCATATAAAGTAACAGCAACCAACCGAAGCCTCAGGACTCAGCTGCCTTTTATTCAATTGTGAGGAGTTTTATTCCAGGACTCTAGGGACGTTACGCTCTGTAGCCCACGCAGTGGCAGTATCAGTATGGGGTGGGCTCGTGCTTTAGGGTGGGGGTTTTCCCAATTTTGACATTCTGCTATCAATGAACTTTTCAGTAATTAATTTACGATCGATTTCAGGTCCACTGAACCATAGCCAACTAGGTTCAATTGAATCTTAAATGTTTGGGAAGGGGTTTCGAATTTGGAAAAAGAATACTTAGGTTATCTTCGGAGTCCAAGAAGATCATCTCCGATCATCTTTCAGAATTTTTGTGCCTATTAGATTCTTTCATATTTTAATTTTAAATACAATCGTTATAAATCTTAATTTTTTAACTTTATTCATCGTTATTATTAAACTATTCTACAGTAAGATGAAAATCACAAAACTTAATTATACTTGAGAATCCAACTATGACAAGGGGGTTCCGTTTAATCCAAAACTTCCATCACCATCACCGAAAATCGTATAGGCAGCTGCGTCTACCTCCACATCACCATTCTGGAGGAGATCGCACAGTGCCAGGATATAGGACTGGGCCATCTGGAGAGTCTCGAACTTGGATAGTTTCTGGTCTATGGAGGGGGCGGGCACCACCTCCCTCAGGCGGTCGAACGCCTCGTTCAGTCCATTCATTCGCTTCCTTTCCCGGGCATTGGCCGCCTGGCGTCTTCGCTTTTGGACGGTGGGACTTAGGACAGTATTCTGGCCAACTGGACTACTTTTCGGGATATCCGATCCTATAGAGCTATCGCTGCGGCGCTTGCGGCTTATAAGGTTGGTATTTTCACTTGGCGATTGATTCTCCAAGGAAGCTACAGAAGCGGAGGATGCGGGAGGTAGCTCCAAACCATTCCCCACGGAAGCATCCAGGAATGTCCAGTCGGGCGAGAGGAAGGCCGATGGGCCGTAATCCTGCGATGGTCCTGGCAACGAAGCTAAATTGTAGTTCGGACTGCCCAAGTACTGGGAGCTGCAGTCCTCCTCGGACGCAGATGAGTAGTAGTAGCTCATGGCAGCAATACCGTGCGGCTTGAAAGTTTAACTGCAACTGAACCGATCGGAGTTGGAGGCGGCGGCAGAGGCTACGGCTACGATGGCAAAACGCTACAACCCCCGCGGGATGCGTTCTACAAATATTTTTACCGCCGCGCTGACCAAGTTTGTGTAAATGGCCCGCAAATGACCCCCGGGATCCTCGCAGTTATTACCATATCCCAACCGAAGGATCTTGGAAAGTGGGAGCAGGGGTTACTTTTAGGGGTTAGAAGTGTGCTCGTCCTTTTGTTATCTCCTTCTCTGTCTTTTTCACGACCACACGCTGTGGACTGTTCGCACGTCGCTTGCCGGCCTGCTCGCACTTCGGGGCACGCGTCATAGCTTGCCAAATTGGTGCTATCATGGCATGTGATCTTCTGCTCTCCACTTTTTTTTTTTTTTTTTTTTTGTAATTTGTGACTTTCACGCTCAAGAGCACACGAGGAAGAGAGAGGGAAGGAAAGAAAGGGAGCGCACTGGAGGGTAGGGAGGATGAGCTACTGCACTGGATGGTCTGGGCCATCAATTAACTTGCTGCATTCTGGCTCGTGTCTAGTGACCATATGTTGCACCAAGCCAACTTCGGTCAGGAGTCAGCATATGGTCAGGGTTCTCGGCTATAAGTGGTGGTCCTTTCGTCCCGAAAGGTAGAGGAATCCTTTGCCGACACACGACATTTGTCGTCTAGCCAGTAGCCAGAATCAGAAGGCAATGAAAGACATTAAGGTATTGCATTTCTATAAAATTTATTTTATTTAATGGAAGTGTAATTAAACTTTATCTTTATGAAATCTATTATCCTGTTTTATAACTTTTTATATTAAAACGTAGTAACTGAAGAATCATTTGATTTTTGTATTAAGAGAATTAGCTTTTGAATACTTTCTTATTTTTTTAAAGCAAATTTAATTGTTTAATTAAATTCTAATACTATTTATTTTTTAAACTTTGCTCTTTTAATAAAATCCAGAGCGCCAGTTATCACTTTCCTTTATTTTGGCCCTGTTATCCTTCCGTGCGAGAGCAGTGTGAAAGGGAACCTGTTTGCGCATGTACCGTAACCACTGGCAAGTATCCCATCTCCTTCTGCCCCAACCTGGCACCTACTATCGTCCCCCTTCCACTTCGAGTAAATGGGTCTCGCTTGCACTTGTTGTGGCAATCGTTTCGTTTTGTAGAGAAAAGCGAGACGAGGACGAAAAGGACCTTCGTGCGATGGAACAGCAACAGGATTGAATATAACAGGACGCCAACAAACGGAGTGTTATCATTTCGAAAAGTGTTAAAGTCAAATAAACATTGGGCGCGTAATAAAGGAAGATAGTCTCTTATCAGTATAAAAAAAACAGAGCTTATCAGGAGCTTAAAACGATTTAGAAAACGATATAAACACCATTAAACGCATGTGTCTGTACTTGGGAGTCGCGGAGCATCTGATGGATGTGGTGGCCTTCTGCATGTGCCGTGTCCTGGAGCTCTCGCTGCTCACCTGCATGATGGTCTGCGGATCTTTGAGGGCCAAACTGACCAACGGCCCGACCAACGAACTGGAGCAATGACCCCGGAACTACGAGTGCTGCTAGGCGGGGGGCCTTGGCTGGATGGCTGAAAATATATTTATGTGAACTTTGAGTTCAATGGAATCGTTTAACTTGGTTACTTGATTGAAACACCCGCACACCCAACACCGCCCATCGCCCCCAAAAATAAGTTCTGTATCCCCCCGCCTGCAATTCTGAGAGACTAAAATTTAATAAACGAAACTTTTCTAGTGGCAAATAAATTACGACGTGTATGTGTAAACGCTCCTCGGTGTCTTGTTGTCTTTTTCTGGTCGTTGTCCTGGGCCGGGTCCTGGTCCTGGTCCTGGTCCTGGTTCTGGTTCTGGAATTGAGCCATAACTCAAGATTTGCCCACGGCAAGGATTTGCGCTTTGTTTACACAGCTCCATTCGTTTATTTTTGTTTGTGTTGCGGAGTCGTTTATCGTACTTATTAGCCAGGGACGAGGCGAGAAAGAAAGGGGTATGGGGGCCATTTGCATGATATAGTATCGACATGGGCTTACGGCCCAGTACAGATACAAAAACATGGCAATTGTGACCATGTTGTGGCTTTTGTTTCGGCGCCGGAAAATATGCTATGCTTCTGGCCAGACATTTTATTGCCTCCACCTCGAACCCATATAGACAACATCCTGTATTTATGTAGTTGTTTACAACTGGCGGCGTGTTGGCCACAATTTATTCAAATTGTACGTGCAAATGGGAGGATATCATGTTTATTACAATAGCCACAGTAGGCAGTTCAAATCTGAATTTGCCCCAGAACTCAGAAATAAACTTTTCATATTTTTGATAGGTCCAAAAAAATCCCACCAAATTTTTCCTCACTCACCACCATGGACAACCTTAAAAAGCAGCGATCTAAGCCCTTGAATCTGGAGGGCAAGGACCTGGGGGAGACTGCAACCATCCCAGACAAAGAAGTATCCAATGTAGCCGATTCTCCAATTGAGGCTATCGATTACGATTATATGAAGTATCCAAACCAAAAGAAAAAATCTCTGGAGAAGAGAATCAAGCCCAAGAAGAGCGTGTCTTTCAAGATGATGGTGGAACTGGTGACTTACACAGACAACTGGAAGATGAAGATGATCGAGAGCAAGTTGCGTACGGAGGAGGAACAGGTGGGATTTAGGACATCATTGACTCTGTGAAACCAAAATTAAACCTTCATATTTTATAACCTTGTTTTTCTGAAAGATTATTTTAGTATTGGAGGATTAGTTGTTGGCCCCAAGATGATTTCTTCAGAAAAACAGGGTTGGCTGGTTATTTATTTATAATAATATTTATATTTAAACTCCTCAGCTCAAGAGCTCTCTTAAGCGTCGGAACTTTTGATCCAAAAATGTTCACTCGTAACCAGTTACTTAAAATTTGTTAAGATATTTGTTAATTATTCGACGTATATGTGAAATTTAATGTCCCATGATGGATCAGGAAAAACGTTGAAGAAGGCTGTACTCTGGAAATTACATGTGATGATGAGGATCAGTGATCGGAAGTAATCAGTTTCTTTAAAGCTTGTGAATTTTGTGTCTTTTAGAGAATCGATGGTCCAAACCTCAATAAATCTTATTAAGTAAATTCCACTTCATTTTTATTTGCTAATCATGGTAAAATATAAATTTAAAGAATGGTGCAGCAAACTTCGCTTATAGATGGGATGGGCTTGTTAGAACTTCAAAACTTAAATTTATTTCCCCATTAACGTAACCGTAATCTAATTCATGTTTCGCTGACAGCGTAGCCTATTGATGATGTTGCAGATGACGTACTCGCCGGAGTCCTTGCCACCGAACTCCTTTGTTTTAATGCCAGACTCCATAGTGCGCACCATCTGGCCACAAAGTTCTTTGGCGCAATCTGCGTAACCCAGATGATTGAACAGATCCACAATGGCGTTGACGATCCCGTACGGACTAAGGATCGGGTAGTTTGTCAGTGAGAGTTTCACCTGCAGTGGCTTGAACACGGCGTGGAAGTCGCCCATTTCCACGGAGCTGAAGAGATTGGCTCCGCCACAGACACCGGCACAAATTGTGGCTATCATAGTAGCATAGCGGTCACTTGAAAAGATACAATCGAACTCCTGGGGATGGGTTACGAGCTTTCCGATACAGTCCTCCACGTTCAATAGCTCCAGTTCCAAGCAATCCTTGTAATCCTTGTGAATCTTCTTTGCAGCTTTTACCATGGATCCATCCGTCAGTGGCCACTCTGTTTTCTTGTGAATCAATGTTACCCGTTTCCGTCCGGCTGCGACGGCTGTATCGAAGGCCTTTCTCAGGTACTTTTCATTTTTTTCCTTGGTGCCCACGGAAATGGCCTCCACCACCCCCTTTACTGGGGAGTACTCTAGATCCGAGTAGATGCCCAAGTTGTTCTGAGCAATGATATTAATGTTAACATCCGGGAAACGGTAATTAAAGCCGGGAAAGCTTTGCATTCGGCACTTGAACAGGTACAGGTCCAGATCGTTGGACATTTTCATAGACCTCTTCTTGGCCTCGGCATCTACCACGGCATCGACGTGCACGGCCGATCGGTTCCTTAACACCGAATTGTAGAAGTCGTCGGTTTGATACGGATCAATGACCTGCACTTCAACTGGCACCTTGGAACTCTGCAGCATTGCGGTGACATATTTGGAGCCTTGTTGGCCAAGTAGGGTTGTTCCCGTTAGCAGGGTTACCGTGTCAATGCCGCCATATTTGGTTGCCGGCATCAGGTTAACAGGTTCCGTCCGGAGGCTACCCTTCACAAAGTTCGAATTTATACTAAAAATATTAGCGTCCATATAGTGGCGGAAGAATCCTTCGGTCATCTTGGCCAACAGGAGCGGTTTTACGTTTAGACTACGCAGCATGGTTTTTAATTAAATGTTTTAGAGAGGGAAGTCCTAGAATTTTTATTGTTTTATGTGAATTTAGTGACAAGAAATGCTATTCATTTCAGGTTGATTTGGTTGTCAGAAACTAACTAGACCCAGATAGAAGGAAATATATCTGTCAAATGAATACACCTATTGAACATATCTATCTATAAAATAAGTCAATAATAAAAAGAAAACAGATCAGATCTTTTCAAACACGGCATTCGTTTATTCTACCCAACTATGGCGCCAAGACTAAAGATCGTAACAGAGATTCTTATTCGCACAAGGACATCCATCGATTCCGTAGCGACCAATCGGGATATCTGTCTGGGTGTCCTTGTGCTGCGGCCCAGGTACCTTGAAGGCGTTTTTGCTGAAGTATCTGTCCGGCAGGTAGTATGTGGGGTACATCTCTCTCAGCCGTTCGTGATCCTCGCGTAGCTCCTTGGCCAGCTCCGGTACAGCTCGTCGCGCCTCAAGGCGGTACTGCTTCGGCTTGGCGTACCGGATCGGAACCTCAAGCTTAAAACGCGAAGGTGGGAGGTAGGAGAGCAATTCTTGGTCCAACTTCTGGTTCTGCTCCGCCCGGATTTTTGCGCACTGGTTGCACTTGCACTTGCCGCCGTGGTAGCAGTACCTTTTGCGCCCGTCCTCGTCCACCATCAAGAGCGGGGTGCAGACGGGCAAGGGGTCTGGCTGTGCCTCCGTCTGGGTGGCCTTTGCCTCTTGTGGCGGATCGGAGAACATTTTGCTGGAGCTGGAACTCAAACTACGACCGGATGACAGCCCCGTGTACGAATGTGATGGATTCCAAACTGAAACTGAGACTAGTAAGGCAACGAAAACTTCAACCAGGTAAAGGCAAACACTTGGCTTGCTTATCAAATACATTTTTTTAAAAAACTCCAACTAAAAGGTGGAATTTAATTAGTTTTATTAACCCGATTTACCCGATTATAATGATTGTTAATACCATCTAACCCTAGAAAGCGGACCTTCTTTCTCTTTAAGCTTTTGCGACATAAATAAGGGAAGAGACCACTTGTCTCTGAAGCCAACACTGTCGTTCCCGCACTTCAATAATAAGTGCGGGTATGCGGCAGTGGAGCTCCACAACCAAGTGAGATCCCTGTCCTTATTCGGGTCGCTTTCCCTCAGGCTCTGACGCATGCTCTCCGCTCCCGTGCAGTAAACATTCTGGGAGGGATCCTTTTTGGTGCGCTTCTGGAGACCACATTTAAGGCACACACGACTTAGGGTACTTTCCTTCGAAAGTGGCTGCGACAATTGCATGTGCTGATAGTAACTCTTGAGATGACGCTGACGAACCACATCGAAGAACTCACGCATGTACTTCGAGTCCTGAACTGGAGTTGGGACTTCCTTTCTTCCTGGGAATGAAACTTCCGCCTGTGCCGAGGGAACTTTCTTCTTGGTGCGCTTATTTCGGAATTTCAGGCTCTTTCGATGAATTGTGCTGGAAGACGACGGCGATTCATCAATGCTGGGGTTATCTGGAGGACTCCTGGTCGGCATGTAAGCCTTGGATACATTTTGAATGTTCTGTAGCACGCCGCTGCGCACCGAGCCTGCCGTGTACTTCCGGACATATGTGTTTGCCCTGGTCGTTGACCCAGTCATTTTCAGCAAATTCCAATTCAGCGTACCTGACATAGTGCAAAGTAAATCCGCAACGGTGAGCTACCAACTGTCTTAAAACTCCAAATTTTGACAACAAATCCATGGAGATAATGTGGTTATGTTGGAATAAAATATATTGCTTTCACGTTTCAAAGATTATTCGAAAGAAGCCTCGCAATATTTAAGATAATTATGTCTTATCTCGAAAAGATACGTCTACAAAACGCTCAGCATCCACTGAGATCTTTCAGTTTTCTGCCAGAGTCCAGACAGTGCGGTTCATTTTATCGTCTTTTAAAGATACGGAGACAATGTCGCAGATCGAGAAAGAAACAGAGTGGTTACGTTCTGAGATTTTGCCACAAATTCTGAAGAGCGGGCGCCTTTTGGAAAACTATAATGAATCCAAGGCTTATACTTTTCACGTCGGAGATATAGAAATCGATGTAATTGGCATTGATGAGGCTTACATGCAGACATTCTGTTACCGAACCACCATTAATTTTGATTACGATGGAAAGAAATTTCAGAGGAAAATGGTCGTCAAGGTAGAGGAGTTTTCATTACAGTTTTATTTAAAATTTCATTACCGAGAGTAATTCTGCAGAGTTTATTTTATAAAGGCAGTCTGGTCACGAAACAGATAAGCCCTCGAATTGTATACTTATGTAGATATATCTTTAAGCTGTAAAACAATATAAAAAAGATAATAGACGTGTTTGGGAGCAGTACTTATGAGGGGATTGCGGTTTTACTGAATGAAGCTACTAACCTGAATTCTCATTTTTTTTTAAAGAAAACCCATGCGATGGCAGCAGAAGATTATGATGCACTTCAGTTCGAAAATCTGTTCAGCAATGAGATCTATTTCTATACGGAAATTCTGCCGGAGATACAGAAGTTAGCCAATGGAGAGTTCCCAGCCTCAAAATATTTCTATAGTGAACTGAAACCACTTTCGGCGGTGGCTATTTTCGAGAATTTCGCGGAACAGGGATGGCGCCTCGCCAAGGAGCGGGTGGGTCTGAGTCTGGAACATGCCACGATTGCTGCCTCCTCCTTGGGTAAATTCCATGGTTATTCATACGTCATTAAGCATCAAGATCCGGAAAAGTTTGCCAAGCTATCTGCTGGACTGAGGGAATCCCGGTATTCTGCTGACGAAATTCATCCTACATGGGCTCTGGTTGCCAAAATGGGAGTCCAGCGAGCTGTCAAAGCGGTGGCTACCTACCAACCCCAAGTCGACAAGGAGCTTATGCAGAAGTTCCAGCTCCTGTTGTCGGATTATTATAGGTACGGCAGGCATCTAGTGGCACCCAGAGAACCTCTGGCCACGCTCTGCCATGGAGACTACCTGAGAAACAATGTGGCCTACAAGTACAACGACCAGGAGGTGCCTCAGGATATCATGATGTTCGACTATCAAACAATGCGGGTATCTTCTCCCATGATAGATCTCACCCTTTTCCTATCTTTGTCCCTTTACGCCGATGTGCGATATCCCAACTTTGAAGCCCTTTTCGACGAATATTGCTCGGCTCTGCACCGGACATATAGGAACGGGACCAATCAAGAGGTTCCCCAGTTCTTAAGGTTAGTGAAACCAGAAATCTATCTAATGCTATTCAATAATACATTTTCTTTTTATATTTTAGCCGATCTGAGCTCTTAAAAGAATATGTCCGATTCATGCCTTACAGTGTCGCTATTGTTTCGTATTTCCTTCTGGATATGGTTGATCCTTTGATCCTTACTGGGGATGAGAAGCATTATTCCCGCCCAGAGAAAGATGTCATCGAACGCAGTTTAAGCGCGGGCGGAGAAGTAGTGGATCGAGAAATAGCCCACCAGATAAAGGAGATGCTGGAGCTCAGCCAAAAGTGTGGGGTTTCCATTGATGATGGCATCGATATAACTAAAATTACCAAGAAATAAAAATACTTTTGTTTCTAAAGGTTAATAGGTTAAGTTCATGTTTTAATGTTTTTCTTGCCTTAATTTTTAAATACTTTTCCCTTAAAAAGAAACCTAATTAAAAACTTTTCTTTCTCTTAATTACCGAGTAAGTTTTTATATCGCTCTTTTACGATCGGCTGCAATTCCATCTCTGAGCACGTTGGGGTCCAATCTCTCAAAGCTCGTTGGGGTCCAAAGCTCTCGGGTCTTATAAAAAGGTCCGCCACAGTGTAAGTATTGTTTATAGTTTTCAAAAACGAACGAAATCACTTCGTTTTTCCCACAGACAGTATGGCGCAAATAGAGGCGGAGACCCAGTGGCTACGTGATGGGATTTTACAGAAGATTCTAAAAAGCGGAAGACTGGTGGATAACTACGCTGATGCAAAGGAGGAGACTTTCAAAGTGGGAGACATTGAAATCGACGTTATTGGACATACTGAGGCCTTTATGATCACTTTCTGCTACCGGGCCATAGTTAACTTTGAATATGATGGTGTAAAATATCAACGGAAATTCGTCGTTAAGGTAGGGTAATTTTATACTACAGAGCACAAAGTTAATAGTTTTGTAAATTTCAGTAATTGTTTATACTATTGAAATTGAAAGCTCGTTGTGAAAAAGCCAGTAAGCTTTTCAAGATATATTCGAATATTTTTATTGTTATCGTAACGAAAACAAAGATAATTTCGTCACAAGTAGCCGGTTCAATGGCTCTCCTACAGAATATTACTATGAAATGTTTAGACTGATAATGAAATTGGGTACTCCGGTGGTAGTTGCTACCTTATCGAAGTACTTTTTCGATTTGATAAGGTTTAACCTTTTTCCAAATCACTCCGATAACTAACATGCAACTAACGATGAGGTAGAATATGTTTTTGGAGGCATATAATATGGGAAAACACAGTTAAGAATGACTTTATTTTTTCTTCAACAGAAAACCCCTCCTATGCCGCCAGATGTCTACGAGAGCATTCAGTTTGAGCAGCTCTTCACGAATGAAATCAACTTTTACACCGAAATTTTACCAGAAATCCAAAAAGCTTCCGGAGGCAAGTTCCCGGCCCCAAGGTACTTCTACAGTGAGCTTAACCAGTATTCGGCGGTGGTTATCCTCGAAAACTTTGCTGTGGACGGATGGCGAGTGACCAAGGATCGGGTGGGTCTCTCCCTGGAACATGCCATTGTTGCGGCTACACATTTGGGTCATTTCCATGGCTTTTTCTATGCCTTGAAACACAAGAATCCGGAAAAGTTTGACCAGCTGACAGGTGGGCTTAAGGAATCTCGATTTTCCACCGAGAATATGAATCCTGAGTGGGACCTGTCTCTAAAGATATCCCTCAAGCGTGTAGAAAAGGCCACAGAAACATATCAGCCTCAAATCGAAAAAGAGTTTGTTAAAAAGTTCTGTGCGCTGGTCACCGACTACTTCAATTATGGAAAGCAACGCGTGGCCCCAAGGGAACCCCTTGCCACTCTCTGTCACGGCGACTATGTGAGAAATAATGTAGCCTACAAATACAACGATAAGGATGAACCGCTGGAGATCATGATGTTTGACTACCAGACCCTGCGCGTATCCTCGCCCATGATAGATCTCTCCGTTTTCCTGGCCATAGCCCTGTACGCCGATGTGCGGTATCCAAACTTTGATGCCATCTTCGATGAATACGTTTCTGCGCTCTACGACAGCTACAGGCGTGAAGCCCATGATGAGGTTCCAGAGTCTTTAAGGTAACAGGTTTTAGATCATTTCAAAACAATTTTTATTTTTTTTGTAATAGAGACTTAGTGCTTTACTTTGATTTTTAATAAATTATATAACCTTTTAATCTTGCAGCCGCTTGGAACTCTTAAAGGAATACGTGCGCTTCCTGCCATACAGCACCTCCATCACTTCCAGTTTCCTAGCCGCATTAGTTGAACCAAGTCCCATTCCAATAGAGGAAATGATAAAAAATCCTCCCTCGGAGCAGGAAATTATCGAACGCACTATGACCACTGGTGGTGAAGTTGTGGACCGGGAGATTGCCCACCAGGTGAAGGAGATGCTGGAGCTGAGTCAGCTATGTGAAGTTCCCATAGACGATGGAATCGATGTTAATGCATTAAAGAAAGAGTAACATGGTCAATAAACAACAAAAATACTTTACTTACCTGAAACCATACCAGTTTTTTGTTAGATAGCCAAAAAATGATACATTTTTGGGCAATCCCTTTCCGATTATAGCCTATTTTATGGTGGTTAATCTAATCAAATCATTGAGTTCTCCACGAGATTACCTTTTATTACCTATGCTTATCAACCCATCTGTTGCTGTTTTGATTAGCGGCAGTGCTGCCACCTGGCGGGCATTGGTGTAGACATGTTTCCAACACTGGTCAAATATTTACATGGGCTGCACTGACAGTCCACGAGCAAAACAAAACCCAACTGTGAAAATGTTTCAACCTTCCCGCCAGCAAGTTCTGCGTTTATACAAACATTTAATTCGTTACGGAAACCATTTAAAGCTGACGGACAAGAATTATTTTCTGGGCAGAGTGAGATACGAGTTCCGAGACAGTCGGGGTCTGACAAACCCGACGGAGATTGAGTTCAATTATAAGGTGAAGCTGCTCCGTATTTCATAACAGCCTCGAAAAATATCTTATATTTGTTTTCTTTAGCGTGGAGAGACTTTGTTGAAGAAGGGTCGCATTCTGTAGGAATGCTTCGGAATCTGGTGCGTCTTCTGGTGCTTCCACCACCCGGCCTTCGTTGTAAATCCACTGGCCATCTTGACTACTCCCGGTATCCAACCCTCCAAGAGTCGGACATCGAAGAGACCTTCACACGGGGTAGTGGGCCCGGTGGCCAGGCGGTCAACAAGACGTCTAACTGTGTGTTTCTCCGCCACCTGCCCACCAACATAACCATCAAGTGCCACACACATAGACTGGCATCTAAGAACCGGGTGGAGGCTCGAAAACTGCTCCTCGAGAAGCTCGACGCTCATTTAAATGGAGAGAACTCTATAGCGGCACAAATCAAGGCCCAAGAGCAGAGGAAATCCACCGAGCGGAGACGCCGTCAGAACAAGCTGCAGGAATTAAAAAAGAACTGGCAGGATAGAGAACGCACCGATGGGGATTAATCCTTGAGTAACAGACAATAAACTTGTTTTTATAAAAAATGATATTCTTAAGATTTATATTTTTTGTTAAAGTTTAGTTTTACCAGCTGGAAAAGTCGCCAAAGCCGCTGGCTAGTTTCTTTTTCTTAACCGCTGGTGCTGTTGCTACATGCACCTCCGGTTTCTTAGTCGCGGGCTGCAGTTTCAGGTACTTTCCAACGCCTTCTCTGTAGACTTTCAACGGCTCCTTTTGGCGCTTCTGCTGTTCTGCTTTCTTGACTGTTTCCTCTTTGCTGGCTGCTTCCTCTTCCCGCTCTTTAGCCAGTTGCTCGGCCGCTTCGGCAAAGGGATTCACAAACACTTGGGAGCTCTCTATAATAATATCCTCAATGGGCCTGTCCTTGTTGTCCACTTCTATGTTCTCCATCTTCTGTAAGGTGTCCAAGCCACCAACCAGTTTTCCGAAAATAGTGTGTTTGCCGTCAAGGTGCTTGCAGGATCGATAAGTGATAAAGCTGCAATAATATTGTAATATATATAGAAAATATTTTCTAATAATATTAATTTTCACTTACAATTGAGAGCCATTGGTGTTCGGTCCAGAGTTTGCCATGGAGAGCACTCCACGACCGGTGTGTGTAAGATTAGGCTTGAACTCGTCCTCGAACTTCTTGCCCCAAATGGATTCACCTCCCGAACCGCTACCCGTGGGATCACCTCCTTGAACCTGCGTACAGTATCGTTAGAATTATATGTTTTACAATTTAGTATATTAGCTTACGATGAAGTTCCTTATAGATCGGTGGAACATAACATTGTTGTAGTAGCCATTGGCGCAGTGTTTGATGAAATTGTCACATGCTCGCGGGGTCTGATCGCAATACAGTTCCAGATTTAAAGGTCCCAAGTTTGTGTTCAGGCGTACGTAGCCCTTTTTCTTGACCCTTTCGTACTTCACCAGATCGTCATCTATGATTGCAGCTTCTATTTGGGACACTGGGACCATGGCGGTAGATGTGAAACTAGCGGCCACAGCTCCAGTGGAGTAATGAGCTGCATTAAACTTATCGGCTGTGCGCTTGGACGTGGAAGCCTCCTCCTCTGTTGGCTGGTAGTCCTTTTCCAGCTGCGCCAGTGTCTCTTTTGTTTCCAGGTTCATGGTCTTAATGCGACCACTGGCCGGGTCCTTTCGCTCCAGCTGCTCTTCTTCGGTGAGCACCCTCAGGTTTTTGCGGATATGATGGAAGGTTGAGATGTCGAACTTTTCCAGTCGCTGCGGATCCTGTATGGTGATAAGGTCCTTGCGCTGAAAGGGTGTATCGTCCACCAGATCCTTCCAGTTTTTGGTCTTAATGTTAAGCTGTTCAATGGCCTCCCAACAATACACATTTCCCGTGGTGGCAACGGCCACGATATGGGAATTCTTGCTAAACGGCTTGAACAGAGCCGGACAATGGTACTCATCATTGGCATTCTTGTGAAAGTTCAACTTAACAAGAGCCTTGGAGTCCATTTTTTGGCCAGTAATGGGATTTATTTTGAAGGTCTTCAAGAAATTTAAAATGGCCTCGTACTCGAAGACATTTCCCTGGAGATCGCAGTAGGGCATCTCGTAGGGGGCCATGGTGATGCAGCAATGCTCGAAGGGCAGCCGCTTGAACTTGACATGGTCATTTTCCAAGGATTCCACTTTTTTTCCTCCGTACAATTCACTCCATTCGGTGTACGTGAGGTACCTGGAAATAGAAGATTTTTAGAAAAGCATTCGATGGTCTGCCTTGAGCCTCTTACATTTTATCCTTCTGATGTTGCCTTTTACCCATTTTGTTGCTTTCTTTTAACTATTTAACTAATAAATTCAATGCTGTGGGAGTTGTTTACAAAATGCGATTGGAACTAACCACTTTTTGTGGCAACGGAACTACCAATCGGTTGCAGGTCGATTGCAAGGTTATCGAAAAGACGCGAGTTGGCATCCCCGCAAAAACATCAGCTGATTGGTTCAGCAAAATCAAACAACAAAGGCAAGCGAATTTTCACAGTGAACTATATTATACGGCGATAAAAATAGGCAAGACAGTACGGACGGTTGACCTTGGGCCTGGTGCGCAATGTCTAGTCCCAACATTAACTACCGCTCCCTGGCGGAGGAGGCGGCCAGTCCCTTCCTGGAGCACCCCTCATCCACAACAAAAACACAAGACGCAAAAGAACCCACAGCTGCTGCGCATTTAGACCCCCTCGGTGATCGAGCACGCGAGCTGGAGGAGCTCGATCATGAGCAAGATACGGAGCATGAGGGCGAGGACACGCCCCGCAACAGTGGCATAATGATCCACATGGTTCCAGAAACGGGGCGAGCGCGATGGAATCACATCGAGAACTTGGACTCGTTCTTTTCGCGCATGTACCAATACCAGCAAAAGCACGGCTTCAGAGTGATCGTACTGGATGAGGTGCTGCAGGTGCTCGAGTTTGGTTTCGTGGTCTGGCTCCTCACATTTGTGTCGCACTGCATCCGCCATGACGTTCTCTTCGGGGATGTCCCACCCAAGAACCACACAAAAACCACCCTCGACGATGTCATCATACCAACGGGCGAGTGCGTGGAAAGAATGGGTTGGTTCACCTTTCTGGTCCTCTTCATAGCTGCCATATACCTGGGAATTCGTCTGCTGAAAATGGTGTACCACATCACACAGTTTGCGGATATCAGGCGTTTCTACAACACTGCCCTGCACATCGACGACGCCGACTTGGACAACTTCACATGGCACGAGGTGCAGCAGCGCATTCGGCGTGTCCAGGCCGAGCAGCACATGTGCATCGATAAGGAATCGCTCACCGAGCTTGACATCTACCACAGGGTGCTGCGCTTCAAAAACTACCTGGTAGCGCTGATGAACAAGCAACTGCTGCCAGTCCGGTTTCATATTCCCCTGATCGGCGAGGTCGTTTCTCTCAGCCGGGGCATGCTCTTCAACATTGACTTGATCTTGTTCCGTGGACCGGGATCTCCGTTCCAGAATAACTGGCAGCTCAGGGACGAATTTGCCGTAAGGAGTAATCAAACGGAGCTAGCCCAGCGTTTATCCAAGCTTATATTGGGTGTAGCGCTGTTGAATCTGCTCCTGGCACCTGTGATTTTTATCTGGCAGCTCATCTATTTTAGTTTCTCATACGCGAATATTCTGAGGAAAGAGCCCAGTGCCTTGGGACTGCGAACCTGGTCTAACTATGGACGTCTCTATTTGCGCCACTTCAACGAACTGGACCACGAATTGGACGCCAGGTTGAACAGAGCCTATGAGTACGCGGACCGCTATCTCAGCTCCTTCTCCTCGCCCCTGGCCGCTGTGATAGCCCGAAACCTTCTCTTCATCAGTGGCGGCTTGCTGCTACTTATCCTTGGATTGGGAATATACGAGGAGCATGTCTTCCAGGTGGAGCACGTCCTCACAATCATCGCCGTTCTCACTGCCGTCGGAGTTGTGTCTCGTGCCCTCATTCCTGACGAGAACCTCATTTGGTGCCCGGAGCAGCTAATGACCGCCATCCTGGCCCACGTACACTACCTGCCGTCGGAGTGGCGACAGCAGGCACACACAGCTCGAGTCCGCCAGGAGTTCAGCAATTTCTTCCAGTTCAAGGCCGGCTACCTGTTGAGCGAGATCTTCAGCCCGTTCGTGACGCCCTTCGTGCTCATCTTTGTGTTTCGGCCCAAGGCCATGGAGCTGGTGCGCTTCTTCAGAACGTTTACCGTTTCGGTGCGTGGTGTGGGCAATGTGTGCTCCTTCGCCCAGATGGATGTGCGCAAGCACGGCAATCCGGACTGGCAGCTGACCAGTGAACTGGAGGAGATGACACGCCCGGCAGGAGGTCAGCCGCCGCAACAGCAGATGCAGCAGAGCTTGGCCGGCGGCAAGACGGAAATGTCGCTGGTGCGCTTCACCCTCAACAATCCCGAGTGGCAAATGCCGAAGGAGGCCAAGCAATTCCTCCGCGGAGTTCGGGAGCACGCCGTAGGAGAGCTAGTGGAGGCCAAGACCTCCGTCATTCAGGGCAACCCCCTGACCAACAGCCTTATTTCGTTCGGCACTATTGGCGAGGAGTACTGTTCCATTGCCAACTCGGTGCTGGGCGCCCAGCTGACGCCCCAGCAGCTGGAGATCTCACAGTCGCTGCGCCCGGGCCTGGGCCTCGGTCCTGCCTCCGGGGCCTTTCCCGTCGCCGGCAGCGACTTCCGTCAGATGTTGCAGCAGAATCTGTCCGCCAGCGTGGGACCGCTGGACAGCATGCGCCGCTTGCGTCTAAGTCGGGCGGAGGGACGCCTAGAGGGTCCGTCGGATACCCTGCTCTACGGACTCTGCGGCCTAGAGCAGCGTGTCGGCAGGACTCCCCTCAACGTGGGAGTGGCCGACATGTGCCTGAGCGCCCTCTACCTGCACGAGCTAAGTCAACAGAAGCGACAGGCGCGCCAGTCGCGCATCGAGGAAGCTGAGGACGAACGTTCAGGACCAAGTACGTGGCCACCAAAGCCACCGGGTGCTCCATCGGCTGGTGCTTCAGGGGCATCCGGCTCCCGCCATACCGTGATTACCTCAAAGGCTGCCGAGAGCACACCGCTGCTGGGGAGCATCCGCTCATAGCAGCGGCCCGTGTGGATCTAACCATCAAACTGTAGAGCTAAGGACCACCATTCTGCTATTAGTGATTAAATTAAGTTTTAAAGTGTAACGATCGAGCGAACGACGTCGCCTAGTGCGTAGCTAAACTAATGTCTAACTAAGCTAAACTGAACGAAAAGCAATAAAATTAACTGCATTATCGAGAGGTGTCTGTTCTCTGATGTCCTGGATTTATGGGATTTATTTTTGAATTAATATATTTAATGGGGATTTCGCTTATCCGGATCTGGGCTAACCGACGGCCAAGAAAGATGAGACTCTACTAACGTGACTCCAGGGGCTCTGATGGATGGCCCCCATTTGGAGGCATTGTTGGCACACCACATCCACTACCAGCACCACCAGGTCCCGAGATCCAGATACGACGAGCCGGCGAGGAGAACGCATCCAGCTGTGTTGCAGCGCCTCGTGTGTCACTTGCCACACACGAACGCCATTTGGCGAATGGTGTTGATGGCCAATGCAGCGATCCGAGGTTGGGGGGACGGCATTTGGTGGATGGAGGAGCCAAGTGCGTGCCTATGAATCTCCTAGAGAGACACCGCGGATACCGACACAGATGCAGATACCGCAGATCCCCGCCAGCTGCGGCAATGGCTGTGGCAACATTTATGAATTATGTGCGTGTTGCATGGAGCTAGAGCTAGAGCTAGAGCTGGAGCTGGAGCTGGAATTTGGAGAGTATATTGGAGCTCTTTCGGAGCACGTTGTCTCATTTTTCCGCTGCACGCCAATTTTGGGGGGAGCATTGCCCAACGCTGCACAAACTGTTGGCTGGTCACTTGCCCGTTTTTGGATCCATCCTCCGACTCTGCGTCCAATGACGATGGCCGATGGACGATGGAGATGCAGTTGCAGTTGCATGTAGTACTAATTGTAGAGCTCGTGTTATCCGATCCTGCACTGGAAAAATAATAAGCAGTTAGTCTGATGAATGAGTATGCTGTTAAGTTAAGAGGGGATTTATATTTTCTATAAATTTTAAATAATCTTTTTAAAGAATCACTAAATAAATAGTAAAATGACCAATTATGAGCTGTGTAGGTAAACGAAGGGGAATGGAGCGACTTTCATGGCTCAAATGGAAACATTTCGCGAGCCTTGTCAAACAATCGAATTTAATTTATGATTTCCTGCGCCAATCGAGTAATGACACTGCATGTGGTAGACCTCGGTGGACCCCGAAACTCTGGATATCTTATGATCACTCGATACGCAATTTGGTCACAGCAGGGCCCGCAAATTGTGGATATGCGTTCGAATTGGAATTGGAAAGGCCAGGAGGGATTTGATCACTACAGAACTACAGTGCAGAACTGCGGCGAACTGAACATATTGGAATGGAGTTGTAGAGTTGTAGAGACGGGAGCCACTTGCATATGCGGCTGTCTGGGATTCTGATGGCCGTGGACCACCGCGTTGCGATCAGGCAGCGAAACCAGTTCAAGATCAGGCGTCACTTTGCGGCGCTGAGTGCCGCTGACAGTTGGATAAGGTTCGAATCGGGCAGCTGGAGCTGGAGCTGGAGCTGGAGAACCGAACTCAAAACTCCAGGCCCCGGAAAGCGGAGCTCCAGATCGCAGCTGCCATTCTGCAATTAGAGCCCGCTGGCTGCTGTTGTCGCCACTGCAATGGCAACTTCTTCTGTCTGGCACGTCGGCCACTATCAAACGTGTCTGTATGTCTCCGGCATCGACTAATGATGATGGTCCAGTGTCACCCCAACCCCAATACCCCCAGCTCCAGACCCGATCCTCCACACTGATCCGAGTGTGAAGCATCAGCGTCGCCAGTGATTGACAACTGATCAGCGTTTTGGAGCAGCTATTCCCACTTTTGGACACGCACGTTCTGCCCCCATCCAATCCCATTCCATCTGCTTTTCGTTTCGTTTCGTTCCCTCTGATAACCTATCGATTTTTTTCATAATTAAAAAACCAGTTTCCGCTGGCTCCTTACAAATAGGATAGGATCGGTTAAGATTGGGCTCGGTTCAAAGAGTTTAGTCGCACCGCATACGGGGATACATTTGAATTGCAAATTAGACGCAACTCCTTTCGTTCTCCCGATCCTCCATACTCCATCCTCCACCCCCTTACTGGATGGCTGGTAATCGAGCCACGATTCAATAAAACATTTGAACATTAAACTGCTTTTATGCAAATTGCCGGCATGCGCTTAATTTTCGATCAGCCATGGGGTCTGGTTTGGACCGTTCATCCGCTTGAATTATCTCCCCATCGCATGCTTGCAACACCTTACGGTCCGCGGTCTGGGATTCCACAAGTGTATCTCCTTCGGCGATAGTCGTCCTCCTCCCATCCAGAAGATGATAGCATCTAGTACGGATCGTCTGCAGCCTGCAACATTTAATGGCAGTGGCTAAAATGCTAATCAATAGTCTTATCGCTATTAATCTCGGCTTCGATTTACCTTTTGCCCGGTTCTCCGCTGTCTGCTACTTGTTTTCCGGATTGTGAATACCCGGGAAGAGCCGCAGGGGAAGACTATGGACTGGACTATGCAATTCATTAAAAATCCAATTGCTGTTGCCTGTTTGTAAATGTTTGTTGACTTAAATTGCAGAGCGTTTGTTTTCATGCCATCATTACGTTAATTAACATTGAGCATACGCCGTGTGGGTCAGGATGAGGGATGAACCTCAATTGAAGATTCTACAACTAATTAAGAATGCAAATATACTCGGGTTTTCTTACTAGAAGAAGGATGGCTCCAGCAATTAAGAATGTAAATCAATGGTTTTCTTTTCTAACTTTTTTATTTTTTTAGAATAATTTTAAAAGGAGCTTCCTAGTAGGATACCGCTCAATATTAATCCATTTTCATGTCAAGATATTAACAACATTGTAAGCAAACACGATAAGTGGAATGCCAGCCTCATTGAACAGCCAGAGCCATATCAGAGTAATCTCCTTCGTTCTCCCCCACTTTGCGTGATCGCGGAAATTGCATTCTTCGAGCTCATTAATTTGGAATAAGCCCTCCAGGTGCAGGTCACCAAAACGATCGAAGAGAATGGGGCAGGATCAATGGTTGGGGGCCGAGTCATTGGCATATTTATGAGCCAGCGGGGAGCGCCCCACAGACGCACTGAAGCATCGAACATGAGCCGGCCGGGCGGCAACGGCATCGCGGCTCGACTCCCATCTTGCATCTTGCATCTTCCATCTCCCAGCTCCAATCTCCCATCAACCGTTGCCCAACTCCTATTTTCCCGGATCGGCTCGGCTCGGCTTGGATTGGCTTCGCTTGGCGCGTGGGCTGGGTTGCCGCGACGCTGGGATGCTGTCGCCTGAAGTGGATTTTCTGTTCAACAAGTAGTTTATGATGTTTTTGTCAATTCATGGCAAAATTAATGACGCTGCAGAAAAGCACACGCACATGGAATCCACGGCACTGAGAGAAAATATTGAAAGATCAATCAACTGATTGAATATCTGACCAAAATGAATCTTTTTCTTTTCTCTCCATGTACTTGATCTCCCTGGCAAGGCGTTAAAAATTGTTGCCTATAAACTTAAAGAACTGCAAAGGAGTCAGCTAGTCTCCTCGCCCCTACCTGTCCCGATCTCCAATATATCCTCTGGTTGAATCTGCATTCAGAAATGCCATTAGTCACATTTGTGGGCCACAGTCGCAGGCGCTTGTAGCCATGACTTGTAATTTTTTCCTCTTCCTCTTTGGAACCCGTTTCCACTGGATTCCGAAGGAAGGTGGCTTTATTTTTTGGGAGGGTCTGGAGATCGGCCAGGGGGTTCTTGGCCGGGCTGCACAAATATTTCTATTGCCGTTAATGGCGTTAATAATTTTGCAGCCAGCTAACTTCAATGGTGTGGATGGTGGCTGATGGTGGCTAGTGGCTGGAGGATTAGGCCGCGTCTGTCATGTTACAGGATGACGTTACATGGGCCCCAACTGACAGCCGGCGGCAGCAGCAGCCTCGGCAGCAGCGAAATATGAATAAACACTCAACTTAACTCAACTTTGGGCGGTGGCTAATGCGAAGTTAATTGGAAAATGCCAGCCCAGAGTGGGCAGTGTGCATCGCGGTAGAATCGCGGAACCGGGATTAGTCCGAGCAGCAAATGGCGTATCAAATTTCCAGCTGCCCGCTGGTAGCCACCGCCTGTCACTCGCCAGCGGGACTAAAGCCACTGCCCCGAGATTCGGACTGCGATCTGAAGCTACCAAGCACTTGTTCAACATGCAACATCCGTAACGGGAGTAGTTTCCAATAGATGTATATCGTATCCGATGGAGAGACCCAGCTGACGACATGCCCCGGGCATCCGATTTCGGGGTGAAAATCTTTCCCAAGACTTCCACATTTTGCAGTTGCAGGTATAGAGGATGTATTTTATTTATATATTTTATATAGGTATATATTTTAAAATCAAACAAAAATCTTCTATTCCAAACCATCATTCATCTTTAAACTCATTTAAGGTTGGCTGACCTCTATTAAAATAAACCTTATAAATTATTAGCTCTCAATATTTTTAATATTAACATATTACTCTTGTTCTGGCTCCTGTGAACTCACTCTGATCTCACCGAATAAATGTGAAAAATCGCCACCTGCGAATATAAAACGATATGTGTCACTTTCAAGATTGGCTTTCGGTTTCTCAATTTATAAGTTTGCATTGTGGCGGCTCCGAGATATGGTCGCCATTTTGGTGCGTTTTAAGGCCGACTAATGAACACGCCTACTGCACTCACCCCACCTGAGCAGGTGTGCAGGTGTGCGTGTGTGACTGTGTCGCACCTGATCGCCGCTGGTATTTGTAATTTGCAATTATAAAACACGCATACGCCGCATAGGCCAAAGTCGAGCAGCCATTGCAAGTGGCGTGTGTGTGCGTATTTTTTTTTTTAGTCGGATTTCAGTGTTAGTGCGTAGTGAACGGCTTAAAGCACTTGATTTCGGGCCTATTCAGATTGAGAGAGCGAGAAACTATCTGACAAATTCGGCAAATGGCAAATAGCAAATGGCAATCTGGCAAAAAGCAGCAGCCAAACCCCCAAAAAGTTGAGCTCACCGCACAATTTATTTGCGAATAAAATATGCAGCGTGTAAACTCCAATTAGACGCTAATTTCAGCCATAAAATGCAAATGTG